AAATTTTAATCTGTGATTCTTATGCAGTAGTTTTTCTAGGTTAAGATGCTAATTAAAATCAGTGAGGGAGTGAAATTTTGACCTTATAAAGTCTCCTGGACACTGATTACAGTGGGGCAAGGATTTTACTGCTACTCTAATGAGACACTACTGTTTTAGAGTAGTGGATCACATTCAGTGTCTTGAAAAGATGGAGTTTTGTGTACATGCAGCTGGTAGTAGGTGCTTTTGCTTGAGTAGTACAGTTGGTTGGCATTGTTCCTAATCCTTCCAAATTATGTCTGTATTTCATTGCATTTTTCTTCCAGCTTGCAGAACTTTGAGGGCACTGTTTTTCTTGGACTATTTGTTGGTACATGTTCTAACCAATTCTTAAAGCTACGATTAAAAAAATACTCAGAAGGCTGAAACTATTTTGAAGCTATTGATGTATTTCAGAAATATGTTGTGAAATGAAGCAAACTATTCCTGGCTGTTTGCCTGATTAGGTACAAGCACTTTCTCCTGTTTGGAGTAACAACTCACTGGCTGAACAGCTCTTCACTGCACAAGTTCTTCTGACAGCTGCACCCACACCAAAATCACCCATGGAAGTGTGGGTGAGTGCCTACATGTAACTGTCATCACCATTTGGGATATTCAAGATAAAAGGTGTTTAGGCTTATCTAGTCTTATAGGTAAGTGTAAAGGAGTCAGCCTGCCTGGAAAATAAGTTCTGTAGAGATGGCTTGTAATAATTTATAGGATATCTGTCCAATGACAACGTGAATTTTTCTCACAACTTATAAATTTGCTGTTAATGTGATGTGGACTCCATCAATAGTTGATTCACACATTTCAAGTTTCAGCTGCCTGTGCATTTAAATTACTCCAGAGACAATCTATACACTTGCTTGACTTCAAATGAAAGGTCATCAGCATCAGTCATGTCCAAAAATTAATATTTAGGACTTGGCTTTGGCTCAAATACAAAATTAATTGACATCATATTAATTATGAGTTCTGCAAAAAGATCCATACAAGCAAGAATGCCTTCCTGTCTCCATTATACTACAGGGTTAGAGCCTGGTTTGCATCTGTCTTAAGACAGTGGGTGACTCAGTTCTTGTGTTGGTAAAAGTTGCCTGCTGTGAAATCATGGAATTTGTGGTGAGGTATCTAATTACAAAGAATTGGGTTTTGAAGAAACCTTTTATGAAGAATCTGAGTCTTAAGTATTACTGGCTTTGGAAAGTGGTGTTCTGTAATGTTGAAATTCAGAATAATTTCTAACAGTCTGTAGTGTAATTTAATAAAGCTGGTAGTGGTAGATAGTAATCAATGTAATTTTTTGTTGATTTTTTCATGTTTTTATACTTGCTTTGCTTTTATGACTGATTACCATTATCTGTACAAAATCAGAATAATATAAAACTATTAAAATTTAAAAATGCTTACTAGGAAAAAATGCCATGATTGATCACACAGAAAATTTGTAGTGTTGCTAGAAAACTTAGCTTGGCATTTTGAATGTGTGGTGTTATGTTAATGCAAGCTCCAAGGCATTCAGAATTCACACAGTGAAGCATTGTAAGCTTTTCCCAGTTTTGTTGAAGCTATTCTCTTTCTTTAATGGAAAAAAAAAAAAAGAATAAAAGGGGCATGGAGAGTAGAACACCTTATCATGTCCTTATATATATTAAGGCACATTTATTGTGCCTGTTGTAGGTGGTAGATTTCTGGAAAATAGGAACACATTCAGTAGTTGCCATTTGGAAGAAATACGGGTGATTAACTAATTCTTGGGTGGCTAATGTGTCCAGAGAGCAACTGTGCCAGGTCTTTTTTTAGTCTGTCCTTGGGAAGGAAGGAAAACTTGCACTGCAGCAAGTTTAGAGCTGGTGATGTTATTGTTGTCAGTGTTGTGTAAACAGGTATCACTGTTAAACAAATGTTTAAAAGATGTGACAACAACAAAAAATCATAATGTAAATAGCTGTTCAGTTTCTCTCATCCTGATAAAAACAAGGTACTGCTAGTAGTCTTGGAATAAATTCATTTAAATACTGGGAAAGCTTCAAAGAAGCTTTATTATAAGAATTTAATTGTATTTTCAGAGAAAGGATAGAGGGAGCAGCAGAGAATGACAGAACAGAATCATTTATGTTGGAAGGAAGCTCTGTACCCCATCACATCCAGCCAGGCCAGCTCCAAAGTTGGAACCAACTTATAAAATTTGTGGTAGCTTGGAGCCTTATCTGTCCACATTTTGGATGTTTCCAAGAAAGGAGATTCCACAGCCTTGCTAGGCAACCTCTTCCAATGTTTGACTGCTCTCATTGTGAAGGAAAATCTCCCTGCTATCTAATTCCTTGTTGCAAGGCATTAGCCATCTGTTGTATAGGTTGTTTTGAATAGTATCGCTTAGTCCTAATGAGTCCTGTGAGGCAAAACACTTAAACTCTCACTTTTCAAATTCAAATAAACCACTGTGTTCTGCAAAACTAATTGTTAGTGGCAGGGGTTTCATTTCTTTCTTCCCAGTGAAGTCCTACTATTGAAGCTGCAGATTTTCAGGAGGTTTTGGGTTTATGTGCCCTCTCCTCGTCTGTGAAATTACCATCTGCATTTCAGGCAGCAACAGAGCCATCCTTCTGTTTCTGTGCTCATAGAGATTGATTGACATGCAAAACTTGTCCTGAAATGCATTGATATTTTTAAAAGTGTGTACTTTCCAGCTGAAATCTTTAATATTAGTAAGTAATATTTAGTCTTATTAGTAACGTACTTCCTCTTTATTTGCAACTAAGAGGACATCTTCTGCTGACTTTATTTCCTGAGATACAATAAAGCATTTGTGTACGTACTCATATGGTATAATGGGAAACTTCCCTTCCTGAATAACCCTAGAGCACTTCTGGAATACAGTTCTTTTTCTTAGCCTTAATTGAAGAGTGAGTTATTAATGATTGACAGCCTGCAGATGAGAGCTTGTTGGCAGTTCCTCTGCCCCTGGAGAATATAGCTGGCAAGGTCCTTTCATTTTTTTAAGCTAACAAGGTATCTGCACTTGTTTTGACAGCAGTCCTAACCTAAGCATCTAAGGTTAAACAGACTAGCATCAAGCCTGCTTTGAAAGGAAAACCTTTCAGCTTAAAACTGGACTGTGTGACAAACATGGAGTTCAATTGTTAGAGTTATTATTTATTTATTTAGGATTTCCTTTGAAAACATCTCAAGTTCCTCTCCCAGTCTTTGGATGTAGACACAAAATTAAATCTCACATAGAAATGTATTTTTTTTAGGAAACAATACTCCTCAGTGGTTTTGTGAGGAAATAGATCTGGGTTGCTTTGTAGATGTTAGCATTGTGTGCTTACTGAAGATACTTTCTCTGGATCTCTGATTTCATGGAAAAACCAAAGAGTTAGAAATTTTATTAACCCACAGCTGTAGGACAAGTCAGATCTCAGCAGTCCAGGGAGCGAGGGGCATCCCTGGTGCAGTGGAGTGATAGCCCAAATCTTGCTCACAGTTTCCAATGACTCTAGGGTGAGGATTTTTATTATAGGTGAGGCTGGAAAAAGACCTTCTGGTGATGCATAAGTTGTTACAGCTTATCATTTAAAATGTTCATGATATGAGTGCTTATATCTGACTTGCTGTAGCAAGGTGTATTGGAAAAGGAAAAGTTATAACACACCGAATATCCTCTGTGTTTGTGACCCAAGTGGGACTTAACATGAGCAGTTGGTGGGGTTTTTGTTGTTGTTAGAGGTTGGTTGGTTTTGATTTGCTTAGTTTTGGTTTGTTTTTTAAATCAAGACATGTCCTGAGCTATTTACATTGGAATGTTGTGGCTGTGTGAGCTGTTTGATTGTTGGCTGTCCTTTAGTCAGCAGAGTGTTATCTCTTAGGAACTCATTGCTCTGAAACCTCAAAATACTTCTTTATGCCTTATTCTGTGCTGGGGGACATCCTGATATGCTGGACAATGGGGTCAAATCTCTAATGCTTGAAACCAAATAGGCTTTACAAGAGGAAAAACTCAGTATCTTTAAACAAGAAAACACATCAAGTTTTCATTTTTGCCTATTTGAGGTACAATTCTTTGAATGGCCTTGTTGTTCTTACTTTCTGAATGTACTCAGTGTGTTACTATTTTGCTACATTTGATGTGAGTTCTGGTTTTGGATGTTGTTTACCTAAGAATTGTTAACAAAACCCAGAAAAATCTAGAGTCTTGAATGAGCACTTGGTTCACAAATAGGTAAGATACTTATCTACAATGAAAAGAAATGTTTCACAGAGGATAGAAAAATGTCTAGTGCTCTGAGGGGAAAGTTTATAGAAACCCTTGATTTTAATTCAGTTCTGATGAAATACTAAATAATGTTGTTTTATATAGATCATGCAGCCACACAGCTAAGGTTGTATGTTACACCTCTGCATGAAGGTGTAAAGAGAAATCATTGGAGAAGTACCACATTGAAGGAAAAAGAAACATACAAGAAATGGCTTCCACAGAATTTCTCTCTGTGACCTCATTAAATAACAAAAATCATGTAAAATGTTACATTTCAAAGTACTGGTTCTGTTCGGTGAAATTTATGGAAACACAAATCAGAAATGTATATTGTGTAATTTCTGTGCTGTATCTAAATAATCTGATAACAGCATGGTGTAAATAATCATAAATTCAAGTGTGCCTCACTAACTAAGGATTGCAACTAGTTTACTTTTAAAACATTACCCTGCTTAATAATTAAATGGCATAGTGTGCCATTGGCAAAGCCAACAAGAACATAGGAAGGAGCTGAAATATTTCAGACTTGAAAAGTATCTCAGAAATATATTTAATTTCTGGAATAGAGCAGCAAAACATAAAAAGTTCTGCTTTTTAGAGATCCTATTTTACTGAGTATAGCAATATTAATTTTCTTTTTCCTTTTTTCTTTTTTTTTTTTTTTTTTTTTTTTTTTTTTTTTTTTTTTTTTTTTTTTTTTTTTTTTTTTTTTCAGCCATAATCAGCAGACCACGTCATTTAGACATCCTGTGACAGGAAAGGTTTCTCCAGAAAATATTGAATTTATTTTGCGAGAAGAGTAAGTAGTTTTATACCCATGTCAAGAGATCTAAAACAATAAAACATTTACCTACATCAGATTAGTACCTTAATTTATTAACAGTTCTTCCAATATTGTAGAAAAATTTAATTGAGTTTTGTGCTTAAAATTTTGTTTCTCGTTGTGATAGTGGCTCCTTCTAAGTCCTAGCTTGGAATCAAAAACTATAATTGTGATAGTTTTTGATTCTAAGCTAGGAGTTGAGGGAAAATCTTTATCATATCTTCAAAAAGCCCAGGCAAACCTAAAAATAAACAAAAACAATTTTCAAAATATACTTAATAATGCTTTAGTCTCATATAAATATCAGGTAAACAGAACATAAATGTAAGGTTTGTACTGAAATTGAAATACACGTAATACTACTATTTTCAATTGTATTTCCTTGGTTTTCTTATGTTTAAGATGTTCATTAATCAGCTGTTTTTCTTTGTTCTGAAGAATTGGTGTCGAATGTATTTGTGTCCAGCATATTTTATCTTGATTGATTAAAAAAAAAACCTAAACAGAAGTAAGAAATGTATGTGTTCAGTCTTGTGAATTTGGTCACCTTTGGTCTGGTGTTGGATTGGACCATGCACCATTTCTCTGTAGGCTTCAACTCCTCCTTGTCATCCTGGCTGCCTGTTAGATTGCTGCTGCTCTCCTTCTCTAATGGAATGGCTGGGTATCCTCCCTAGACAGAAAACAGTCCTGGACAAAACTCTACATTGTTCCCAAAACCAAAGGGCAAGAAGAATAGAACAGTACCAGAGAGTTTCTCTTTTTCCAGCACTGTTCAAGCAGCCTCTATCACAGAGTCTGGGCATCCTGCTGTGATAGCCTGGATGTGGGGTTTGTGTGCCTGCCTGCACAATTCTGGGCTCTTTTTAAATTTCAAATTCTGTGGCACTGAATTTGCTTCACATTTTGATAGGACTGCTATCAAAAGCAGTTACAGCATTAAGAAAAATGAGGCCTAGAGGAAGGCTGTTCAACCCTCCCAGGAAACTGAGTCATTTCCATGTCTTCTCCTGTGACTTGGAGAAGTAGAACATGGCTGTGGAGCTCAGAGGTTCTGCTATCCCTGAGAAGAGCTTCTCAAATAGTTTAAAAGCCAAACCAACCAACCAAAACCGACAGCAGCAGCAAAACCACTGGCTAAACAGTTGCTCTCCCTGAAGGCAAAGCAAAGCCAAGGCCAAATTCCATGTAGAGATCCCTTGAGAACATGAAATATAACATTGTAGGAGAGGACTGTGATTGGGTGTGAAGGCTGTGGGATGGCTGCTGAGCTGCAGGTCACCCCAGCTGTCCCATGGCATGCAGGTGCTTTTCTGCACAGCTGGGTTTAGCTCATTTACAGGTATGAAACAAGCTGCTTCACCTCACTCTCCTAGTGAGGAGAACAGGTATGTGGCAAATCAGCAAGTCTCAGAAGAAAGTGTGGACAGCAGCCACTGAGCATGGGCTCCAGCTTCCATCCGTTAATTGATTTTTAATATATCTGTTGTAAAGGTTCAGTCAAATTTGATATGAATTTAAACGTATGTACTGGAAAATAGGTGTTTGGATAACCTCCTGGAGTGCCTGCCTGGATTAGTCACACTTGCCTAGGCTGTTTTTTGTTTTGTAGTCATGGCAGCTGATAAATTATTAAAAATGGAATTGAAAAAAGTACTTGGTGGTGGTACCTGGATTTAGTGATCTTTGATGTATGTTAGGAACTTTTTTGGAAGAGATATGGAAGTGCTTATTTGGAGGGGAATCTGATGAGCATGTAGACTAATTTTATTACACTGAGATGGTATTGAAAGCAGGAAAAATCTCACACTGTAGTAGAATTAGTAGAGAGAGGTGGTTTTAATTCTAAAAGAGGGAATGGCTGGAGAGATAGAAGAGTAAATGTTTGTAGTCACTGCTCAGAAAACAGTCTTTGCAAGCATGTTTCTCTAAGCTTTATTATTGACCTGAAGAGCATACAATATTTTTAAAATCAGATGTCTTTTAATCTGTCAGTTAAAATTGCTTTAAAAATGTCTTATTTTCAAATGTGTGGGATGCTCTGGGTTGTTTAGTTTTGTACCACTTGTGTGCAGCAGTGGGGGTTTACACAGATGCTCTTCTCCATGGTGCTGTGCGAGCTGGTGATGTTGGCACCTGGGGATGTGTCTGGTGAAATCGGAGGAGCTGTTGGCACCTCCCTGTCCTTGGCCTAGGAGCTGTGATGGAGTCCTGCTGTGTTTCCAGTCCTTTTCCCTCAGGCCTCAGGGATTTCTTACAATCAGTGGTGTTGGTCGTGTGTCAGTTTGGGAGCAGTGTTGTCGATTCCTGTGCTGTGATGAAATGATTTCACCAGGAGGACTCGGGTCAGAGAGGCAGTCTGCATTGGCATGGTCTGTGGGAGCTTTCCATCGTGGGATTCTTTGACCAAGACTACTTTTTCCTATAGCTGGAGAGCCCTATCTGAAGCAGTAGCACCCTTAAGGGTTTCATAAAAGATGATTTGTTCTTTAGTGCTGTTGTGACATGATTTATTACTGACTGGTTGATTTTAATTTAAGATTAGAGCCAAGGAGTTGTCAACAGATGTTGACTGGGAGCTAGTGGAGAGAAGTGAACACAAACTTGTTCAGGCTGCAACACGCATATCTATTTAAAAGGACACATTTTACAGCAGAAAAGTAATTTACAGCCGTGTAGAAATGATGAATGTGGGGACTACTCTGGCTATTTCTTATCCTGGAAGCAGTGTTCTGGCAGGAAGATTTGGAAACAAATTTTGGAAAATGACACCAATGAGTGATGTAATCCTACTTATGACTCAGTTGTGAACCAAATGCCCTTGATTCACTTGATCAAATGAGAACTGGACACTTTCAGTAGAAGGCTGGGACTGTATTTCATAGTCTTTTCCCAAGGCCTTTAAACAATATCACATCAATTTTGCTTTTCAAGCTGAAATCTGATTGTCTCAACTCCATTGTAGCTGGAACCTATGACTTTTCAATTAAATTATCTTTTCATCCTTACACTATTCCTTCTTCCTAAAGGTGTTCTAATTTAGATTTCTTTTTTTCTTTTAAATAGTGATTAGTAATTCCTTACTTCTTACAACATTCTTAGCTGGGATCACTGTCAAATCCCTACCTTGTACTCTTTTTCCAAGCTTAGCAGCTTTGGTCACTTGGTGTGTGGGGTGTGTGTTCTGTATCTTTCACTAGCTCTGCTTGAGAGCCAGCTTTTCTGCATGTCACTTTTAGGTTTCTTTTTTTTTGATGGAGTGGTTGATCATAGGTGATTGCAAGATTCAGCCTATGAGCTCACTGTTTGTTACAATAATTTAATTGTACTTCTACTTCTCTATTCCTTTACTAATAATTCTTAACGTTCTTTGGCTGCTGTTACTCATTGAGTTGATATTTAAAAATAACCTTTTCTTGGCAATGTTGTTTTGAGTGATAAAAGCTGCAGAGGTGTTTTTTATTTCTTCCTCCTTTGAATTACTTTTCTGTTGCTGGCATTGAATTCAGTTTGGCGTCATGGTTGCTTTTATCTGAAGTCTGTTTTTCTATCTGTTTCTGCTAGCATTTAAGTTTTTGTCTAGAATAATTTTTATTTTCTTTTGACTTGTTCACCTCACAGTTTTTAGAATCACATTGAAGTAATCTGAGTATCTTGCTGTATGGGAAGCCCTTCCATTTCACAACTGCCTCTTGATTTCTGTGCTTTGTTTTCACGTTTTTAATGAACTATTAATCCAGAAAGGGACCTTCCTTAAACAACTGATGGAAAAGTCAGAATTAAGGATAAGTCTGTTTGACAGGTGTTTGGTTTTCAGTTAACTACATTGTTACACGTGCATTTCTTGGGAAACAATCTATGATAGAATTACTTAGGATAGCTGTATATTGTGTTTATATTTCTCCTCTCAAATCTTTGTTTAAATAACAGTTCTTTAAGTAATTGTGGACAGAAAGGAAGAATCAAGCACATGCAGCCTTGTAACTAATGTTAAACACTACTAGTTGTGTATTAGGAGCTATATATTTGTCATAGCAGTGTGTTTGCAAATGAGAAGATAGTACTTGCAAAAATACAAAACTTGAACATAAATGTAGACATAAGGGGGAAAAACATAGTGTGCTTAATCCAAAGAGTGTTATCCTCTTTCTTGCCTGTTTTTGTGTGCCTGATAAAACCTGTGTATCACCTCTGGGGAGAGAACCATCTTATTTTATCTATTGCATTTGGTTACTATAGCAGCAAAGTATCAGGTGGAGAGGAAAGAGGAGACCCAAACAACCCCAAAATAAATATCTACCTTGTTTACATGTATAGAAGCACTAGGAGAGTTTTTTTTTTTTTTTTTTTTACTCGAGCTGATTAGGAAATTTACTAGAAATAAAACTACATTGACACAATGTTATTGCATCATGTCTGTTTCCAACAAATAAACTTTTTAAGTTGCCAGTATGGATGTGGATCTTCCCAGTCTTCTGATCTTTATGATCTCGTGTGAGTATTGCATTTTCAATATGGGCTACTGGTGTCGTCATTGTTTTTTATTGTTCTTGTTCAGTGTCGGGGGTTTTTAATAACCCAAATGTTGGGTTTGTAATTTTTTCAGCTGTTAAATATGGTTTCTGGAGACATACTAGCAATGTTTAAGTAGAGAAGGGAGTTGCTTGACAGGAGATATTATATAGAGTGTTAATTTCAGGTACTTAAAAATATTTACACAGTACCAGAGCTCCAAATGGACGCACTGCAGTTCTGTGTGTGTATTCACACACTTGGGGGAGGCTGTAAGAAAATTAGCCTGAAAACAGTAAAACACCATCACTACAAAGACAGAATAGGATATCATGGATAACAGATATTATCAAAAATCTTTGGTAATAGTAACTATGAACTAATGTTTGTGAATGCACAGTCAATGCTGTAGTCATTTATTTTTAAAGTCAAATATTATTAGCACAGTGTTAATTCCCTTAATTTGCAGTATTGTTTTGTGTTTTCTGTAAAATGTTTGGTACAGCAAGTTTGCATCACCAGGTTTGCTGCCGAACACTTTGTATTGGAGAATAATAATTTATTTTCTCTTTCAATGGACTTAATGTGTCTTTTGCTTGCTATTTGAATTCTTCCATGGCAACAACCTCACATTTTTTAAAGAGCATTTTTCTGCTTGTGAATTTGAAGTTTGTCATTAATTTGATACTTTTTTTTTTTTGCCTGGTTTCTTTGCAGTTATCGCTTTTAGTAGCAAATGGAAGAGAAATCACTCTATGATCACATAATAAATGCTTAGAAATTACATTTTTGTCATTCTGTATTGTGATTTTTCTCATAATGGAAAAACCAGCTATTCAGGCTTTTGGACAGATAATTGTTCAGGTTGTAACTGAGGAAGAGCAATGGTGGCAAAGACTTTGTCCTCTGTTAAACCTTGTGTTGAGCTACTAAAATCAGAGTCTTCTCTGTTCTCATGATAACTGTGATAACTCTTCAGAATTATTCTGTTCTCCATTGTGTTCAGATTTGGATTTCAATGGTAGCAGCAACCATGTTTGGTGTAGCTTTTTGTATTATACCATATTTGTAGTATACCATTTTTGGTTTTTCTAATAAATGGCTTTGGTGACTGGGAAAAGGAAAATTAGGTGTTGTTAATTGTTTGTTTTGTTGTGTTTTCTGATGTGACTGTATTGCTACTTGCTAGTTGCTAAATTATGTTGATAATAATTTTTGAAAATGCCACCTGTGGTTTTAATTTCATTTGATGCTGGTGTTGGTGCTGCTGAAACTTCTCAAAGATTTTATTTTACCCTTCCATTTATCCTCTCAATTCTTCATCTGGGTGGCTGTACTGAATTCTTACTTGTTGAACAGGTTCTTCTGGTAGGATTGACCTCACTTATGCTTTAAATGGATATCTGAGCTAGTTATCAGGATTTCTGGAATCTTAGGATGACTCAGAAATTACACATTTCTAACAACTATCTGCCTTGAATTGCACCATTTTGCTTAAAAGGTATTTTAATAATTCATATTGTGCTATGAATCATATTTTGGGCAGATTCAAAGATACAGCATTAAGTTAGTGAAAGATCTAACAGCAGTCTAGACGCAGATTTTAAATGAAAAGCCTGTTATTGCCAAGTGCTGATTGCTGTCCTTTTCTCCCCAATACTGGCTCTTTCACGGGTTTGTGGCCAAGTCTCTAAATTGGGCACAGCTTGGTTTCACTGCATAGGCCTTGCCTTCTCTATTCCTGCACTCCTTGTTAGATCTTGATTCTCTCCTGGGTTTGCAGACAATTTGGCAGGTTTCTCCCTCCTGATGCATAGACAAATACCTATCATCAGATGTCGCTGCTTGAGAAAGACTTGAAATCAAAAATAACAGGAGTGGTGCAAAGGACCTTGTAGATGTATGGGAAATATTTGACTAACTTGTCATTCATTTGCACGCTGTGAATTTTACATATAAAAAAGCCAGACTAAATGTTTGAAACAATGTGCTTTAGATTATCTGGTTTTGTTTGCTTTCTAGACAGAATTCATCTATGTCCAACCAACAAATAAACCAAAGGCCTTCAAGCATGGTCAGTGAAACATCCACTGCAGTAACTACGTCTGCTGTTGATACAAAACCTGGCTCTAAGGTAAAAGAAAAAACTATTATTTTTTTCAGCTTGTTGATCAGAACTTCACTGATTTTAAATCTAATATTCTCATGCTTATTTCAGTAGGGCTGTGGATTTAGCTAGAAGTCTAGTAAGACCTCAGAGAATAGGCAATATCTTCTACCCAGACACAAATCTTTTGACAGCACTTTATACTGCAGTTTTGCCCACATGATAGCACTGAGTGGTAACTTCTTACATAGTGATTATTGGCACATAGAACGTTTGAGCCTTACAAATAGAAGTAAATGTATTTAATATTAGTATTTCAGCAAGTGTTTTGGTAGTGTATGTGGCAAGAAGAGATGCGTGATATCAGGAATTTGCAGTTCTTACTTTTGCATGAAATTTTACTGCCTTTCCTCTCCTAGTAACAATTCAATCCTTTTTTGCCCTCACTGCATTGCACAAGCAGTGCAGGCACCAAGTTCACACACCTAATGTTTAATTATAGAAAAGTCCATTCCTTGTCATTGACAAAGGACCTGTGTCCATTATTGAACAAAATAAAATAAAGTGCTGTACTTGAAGTGTCACCATCTATTTTAATACTTCTTTGACCTTACAGTAAATTACAGAACAGTGAGAATGGTAGTGGGTGGATAAAAATGGATAGAGCAATACTGAAAGAATTAGCAGAGATAATTTTCTTGACTTTGACTGCAGTTCTTAAACTTCGCAGTTGGTTTTCTTTTAAATGCAAAATTGGGCAGCCTCTTACATAACTCAGTTTAAGAAAGGATTTCACAAAATTGATTGCAAAGATATTTTGTTTAGTTGGAATACTTAAAATCTTTTACTAATGTTTTGATGTGCTTGAGTACAGGAGGTGATACAATTTCATAAGAAGCTAACAATTAATTTTTTTTAAATTATTTTTTAAAACTTTAAGGGTATCAGTTATTGGACCAACACAAAAATTCCAATGGATCAAATCTCAAGAATGCATTTACCATTAAAGTGCTAGATGAAGTAATCACTGCAAACAGTGATCTTGGAGGTTACTTGAATTAGTTGAAACACTTCTTTTTGATATTTGAAGAGTTGAGTTTACCAGGGTATGTCAGCTTTTGTTTTTATTGTATTTATATCCTCCTTACTCTGATTTTTTTAAAACCTGGTTAGAGGCAGAAAGCTCATTGTTTCCCTCTTTAAACCAGCAAAAATTTAACAGGGACCTGATATTGTGCTTTGAGCTGGGGAGTTCTCAGTGACACAGTTGGCTTTTACTTAGCCAGGCTCACACTTCTGCCAGAGTGTGCATCCTCTGACCCCTGCTCCTGCTGCTTCCCCTTGTCTCCTGCATGCACTGATCGAGTCAGAGACCAAAAATGGGGACTGGATTCCACTTCCAGGCCACCCACGTGCTGGAGGCTGATTCACAGGGCATGTCAGAACCACACAGCTGAATGGGAGGGTAATGCTTTTTTCATCACTGCTTAGAGAATATCCAGAATCACCTTCCAAGACTTTGGTTGGTCTGGTTTTAGTCTCTCTTTCTATTCTGCTTGCAGTCCTCTGTAAGGGTGACTATGCATGCTTCTGGCAGGCTCCCAGGTGTGGATTTTTTTAACACATGGTAGCTTTAGACTTAGAATAAAGCTCTCACAGAGGCTTTGCCAGTACTTTGCTTCTCCACCAAATTGTTTTTATAAGATCCATTCTACTTTGTGTCCTTAATTAAGATGCACCAACATATTTCCTACATATGCTACGTTTCAGCATTGCACATGTGAACAGGCTTGACATCACTTCTCTTGTTCTGTTGAGTTAGAAGATCTGTTGAATTCCTTCACAGTCTAACACAAAAATTATTTCAAATGAACTAGCAATGAGAAAAAAGGAAGTAAAATAATCTGTGTCCTCCACTTTGAGATTGACTTTTGGCAGGTTTAGAAGAGATTTTAAGGTCCTTCCATCAATTTCTGAATGTTTTCTTCCCTGAAGTCCATAATAATTCTTTCAAAGAGCGAGTTCTCAGATGCAGACATGAGGCACAATCATGAAACCAAAGACAAGCTCATGTTCTCTACTTAGCCATGGCTAATTATTATTTTCTTATTAAATGCTTCTATGATTTGATCTTGCAAGCGCCATCAGAGTATGGTGTGTGCATAGCGTTGGAATCTGGCCAAATTCAGACTGTTTTTTTTTTCCTACAGAGCTGTGCACATTTGGGGCCAGTATTTCGATGCAAGAACTGTCTGAATAAATCATCTAAAGACTTTAGACCAATGCAGTCTGTCCTACTCTTTGGCATTTGAGGGGTATGGGGTTAGGGAATGAAAAGCAAAAGGGCATTTTGATAAACTGCAATTATTCTCTGTCCCAAAGATCTGCTTGTTCATAGCCAATTCAATTACATGATTAACCATTTAAAAAGCCATTTATAATGATTAATAATTAAGGTTATGGAGGCATAAAGGTCTGTTTCAGTTCAACAGTAAGGTGCATTTGGAATTTAGTCTGTTAAAACATCTGGTGGTGTGAATGGAGGTTTGTGAATGTTACGGTGCCACACAGGACATTGGCCAAGTCAAAAATGAAAAGAAAGTAAGGAATATATTTACTGTCTACATTTTGAGAACATGTTTTGGATGGGTTCTGCATAGCAGACGTAATTGAATTGTTGATGACACTGATAGTTGCTGGTATTTCTCTGAGTTAATACAAGTAAAGAATGGCTTTAGCAGCTGGAACAAGCAGTGGTGACAAGAATGTAATGTACCAGCTCTGGGACTGTCTGGAGCTGGAGTGCAACACAGGGTCTAGTTTGCTGTATGTGAATGCTCAAAATTTGGAGATTTTTTTGAGAGTTCAGTTTTTTTCTATTGGAAAAATAAGGATTTTGTATTATTTTCTTAGAAACACTGAAAGGATTCATAAGTCCACTGAGATTTTTTGACTTAGAGTTTATGACTTAAAAGGTGGCTTTTTATAAGTTAATTTAAAAAAAATTCCTTATGGGTTGAAAGTTCCATGTTTTATTATGGATAAGTATTTGCATATTTTGACCAAAATACAGTCTTCCTGTTTACTAGTTAAAAAATCTGTTCCAAAAAAAGTCTGTCTATAATTTTTTGTTAGTCCTGTTTAAAAGAAAGAAAAAAAAAAAACATAATAAGTTAGCAACTTTCTCCTCAGTTACAAGCTACTGTAAGAAAGAAGATGAGGCAATGATGGAAAGGGATTTGAAAATTTTGACTTTTGACATTTTTAAGTTTTGTTGCAAAAACTTAGCAGTCATTCACAAGCAAGTCAGCATAACAAATGTACTGAAGTCAAAAGCGACTTTTGTGTCTTCAGTGATACAGACAGCTGTGCTGACCTGCATTTTTAAACTCCTGACAATGATATCAGAAGAATTCAAGTTAGGAAAAGACAACTGCAGTGCAGAGAGATGGTTTAAAAATCTACCTTTTCTTTTAAACCAATTTCTTAGTCTAGCCAGTGGAAACAAGGCATGACTAAGTATCTGTTATGCTTTGCAATATCTGTTGTGCTTTGTTTTATTCCAGAGCAGAATGAGATCATCAATACTAAAGATTATATGAGAATTTTAATTACATAAAGTACCATAAAAGGATAATTTTGTTTCCATTATGGTATTGGATTGACATATAATACGCAGTCTTTGGAAAAACTACCCTACTCCTATGCCATAGAAATAGTTTGGTCTTTTGACCAAGTCCAAGGATGATTTTTCTACATTATGGTCTGAATTTTTAAATTAAGAGAAAGTGCTTGATTAAAAGAGCTATTTAAAAAAATCAAAATTGAATTTCAATGCTGCTGTAAGGCTAGATCAGCTGCACTTCAGCTGCTCCTCAGTTTCTTCACCCTTCCAAAGATTTACATGAGCAAAAGATTAGGAAACTAAATTCTGTACATTTTGTAAATGGATTTATGTTCAGCTGCAAAGCATAAGTAAAGTAAAAACAAAAAAAAAAAATAGATTCTTGACTCTCAGTGCTTTACAAGTTTGGATGTCATTATTTTTCATCACCCTTTTAATTAGCTGTTTCATCTTAACATTAGGTAGCAATTTTTAAAAACTCAACTGTATTGATAACTTCTCATTTTTCTTTAAAGAAAGCCTGTCTGTGGCTGTGTTTGCCCAAAGCCAGTGCTCTGCAGCCTGGTGGCTGAATGCCTTAGCACAGGTCTAGCAGAGACACGGTCTAGCAGAGACACAGAGATCTCAGTGGTAGCATCCCCATCTGACTTCTGTTATGAACTGGCTTTTTCCAGCTGGATGGCAGGGGCACCTCCTCAGAAACAGATTTTACAACCTGCTGTGCTGGGTTTGTGCCAACAACCCTGGACAGGTGGACAAAAATGGGCTTTTTCCTCAGGTGAGACCACCTGTGGTACCCTGGGTGCTGCTGGGTCTTGTGCAGGCTCTCACTGAGCTGCCTGGGGAGGTGGCACTGCTGGGGAAATCCTGCTCCTCACAACTGTTAAATCTACCTTGCTCCTTCATATTGCTGTAGCACCAAAAGAGAAGTGCATTTTTTTCAAACTGGTTGTAGCTATTATCTTAACCCTTCATTAAGACATTTCATGTAGATTGGTAAAGTCTTCCTCAATCAATCAACAACAGCAAAGTCTTCACCAATCAATCAACATTAATCCATTCAACAGAATCCGTTTAAAGTTATAATATTCTGCTGGAACTATTTATATTATATGCCTTTTAGTCCAGATGTTGTCTGGCTGGCAGGAGCAGTACACTGAGATATTTTTCTGATGTTATCCCTTGTGTGTGATGAATATATTTGTTTGCAGAGCTGCTGTTTGCCTGCAGCCCACTGAGCGTGTGTGCCTGACAAGCTCAGAGATTAGAAAGAGACACTGTAGGAAAGAATTTGGACAGCTCTTTTCTTGGAGAAGTTGGCAGCAACTGTAAGGGTGGTCTGTCCTGAAGCAACTGGAGGAGCAAACTGGGCTGAGGCTGGAAAAGAACAGGCAAATTACTCATTGAGTGATTCTGCTTTTTCACACGTGGATGGGCCTTGTTTGTTTGTTTTTGAAATAGTTTTGTCCATGTGGGTCAAAACTGAGGTTTCAGTAAGACACAGATCATTACCTAGTCCATGTGATTTCCACTGGCTGCTGTGTAGGTCTCTTCCCTGGTAGCGTCATTGTCTTCTCCTTTTGTTTGCAGGGCCAGAGTCCAACATTTTATTAAGCTATCAATGTTGTTTGAATTTAAACAGGAAATAAAAATTTAAATCCACCAAAAAGAACCACCAAAAGCCCCCCCGAAAGCCAAACAAAGAAGAATAAGTGTAAGATTCATCTGCTCAAAGTTCTGTGTAAGAGACTTGTGCAATATTTTCCACAGAGACTTGCATGCAGCTCTCAAAAATACTTCCCAGACACACTAAAATTTGCACAGTTCCGCCTTCTGGCTTGACACACCAGTGCTGCTGCTCTTCAGCAGGAGCTGGCACACTGTCCTGATGAAGGTGGAAGATTGACTTTGCTCTGTTGTGAATATCATTGCCTGTTTACTTGCCCTTGAAAATGCCATGAATACTTTGTTGCTGTGTAGTGAGGTATAAGTTATTGCAGTGAGAGTATTTGTAATATGAAATGAGTCTCAGTATGGTTTAGAAACCACTACTGCATTATACTTTACAGGTTGTGAAGACTGGAAACAAAGTTCACAGCTTTGGAAAGAGGGAACAAGCAATCAGGAGGAACCCCAATGTTCCTGTGATAGTAAGGGGCTGGCTGCACAAGCAGGTATGCATGTGATCACCTGTTTATGTTCATATCCTTGAGTGCAATCATCAGAGAAGAGCCAGTGCCTTCCAAGGAACTGAGAAAGCAGAAGCTCCAGTGCTGGTGGCACAGGGCAGTGCTGGGTGCTTCTACAGACTTCCATAATGAGGAATTCAGGCCTGGCAAGTGTGAAAACCAAGGGTTGCCAATGGGTTTGATTCAGAAGAGGAAACTGATACATGGACATCACTATCACAGCTCAGTGCTGAGGCTATAACTTTTATCTAATTCCGGTTATTTTCCCTGGTTTATCCTGCTGGCTGGCTGTCAGGCTGATCTTTGACTCCCTCAGAACACAACCTGAGGTTGGCTATTATTCTGTTGGTTGGCCTTATTCTGTCTGCTTGGTTATTCCCTTCTACCCTGAATTCCATAGGCTTAATTCCAGTCCCTATGCCTTTTTGTTCTCCAGAAGTAGGAGGGAGAAAATGATGGGAAATGGGGACACATCCACTACACATTGCTGTCACCAAGACCAGTAGCCAACAAACACTGGATTGTACATTTTCATCCAATGAACAGAATTCTAGAGCTGCTATATCTTGAACTCTTAAGCTGACAGAAACACATCTTTGAGTGTAGTAAGTCAATAAAGCTGTTTGTTATATGAGAATAACTCCCCTGCTTCTCATTTGGCAGCCTGTGTCTACCAGATTATCGCCAGCGGTCCAGCAGCTAGAGCTAGATTGAGGGGTGGGCAGGAGAAGGCTGAACAATTATGGTTTTACATGCACAGGAAAGTGAAATAGCTGGCAGCTGTCTGCTTCCTCCTGGGAGGAGAGATGAAGTTCTGCTGTGTTCTGCTCTCAGCTCTGTTGACATCCACTACCCAAGTCCATTAGTTCTCAGGATGGAATCAGAACTCGGACACAGTATGTGTTACCAGCCTTGTAGCATGAAAATGGGAAGGGAAGAATTTCCTTCCACACTTAATTTGATTGCAGAAAGGAGGAGGGAAATAGCTATAGCAATGTTGTATATCCTGTTTCCTTCTGTCCCCTGACCTTTGCTTGTAAGCCCTTAAAACCTGAAGGTGCTTTTTATGCTGCTGGTCTCATCAATGCCTACCCAAGATGAAGAAGTTGTACTTGCCTAGGTTATAGGCTGGCAGTTTTAAAAGCTTCAGAAATTAATTTCAATGCAAATAATACTCATCTTGACAAGGTTATATATATCTATATCTATATATATCTCCACAGGCATATTATATTAAACTTCATTAAAATTTGCACATTATGCATCCTGTTTTATTTCCTAAGGAATATTTTATTAAATTACATTTTAGGCATGGGTAACATATGGTGATTGAATTATAGGATATCATTGCCTGAAATGTGAGGTCATACTTCACAGCTGTGTAGGGATTTTCATTTTGGTCTGCAGGCAATCTTTGTTGGAGTTTGTGCCATCAGAAAAACACTTTGTTTCCTTATTGCAGATAAATCTGAGCAAATAAAATAAGCATTGGTTGTGTACAAGGTTAATCTGAATGCTGTTTGGAATGAGGGTTTAATTACTCAATGAAAATTAGCAGTTTGACTATTCTGCCCTCATTATTTTATAGCTGGATGTTTTGCCTCTTATCTTAGTGCACTATATTTTGCTAAGATACATACCATTTGTTTTGCACATAGCAGTCATATTTAGGTAAACTTCTGGTAAACTACTCACTGCATCAGCACTGTATATGTTCTCTTTCCTTAAATGAAAAGTGTACCACATTTCTTGCATTTCAGGATAGCTCTGGAATGAGGTTATGGAAGAGACGATGGTTTGTGCTTGCTGATTTTTGTTTGTTTTACTACAAAGGTGAGTAGATATCAGCTGTTTTGAGTTGGTCTGAACAGTTCACCTGTACAAATCATGGTGAATGCATGAATTAACTGAATTCTTCAGATAAAGTTAGTTGTTCTGAGATGAACAGTGAAACAATTGCTTGGCCAGACACCTTAAATGCAAGACAGCAATTTCTAGGCCAGAGCAGGGGAAGCAAAGGATGCTGCATGATATTTTTTTACATAATTTATGTTTGGTGTATGCCATGGTTTACAATGCAGAACATCTGACTGGAATAAATAAGATTTATCCCATCTCTGGTCTGTGTTCTGGTACCTATTTGCTTGCATTTGGATGTCTGAGCTTTTTGAGAATGCACTATGGCCAGATCAGGGCAATGGTTCAGTTTTAATCCAAGGGACAAAGTAGGAGTGAGAACTTCTGAATCCAGTAATTCTACCAAAAAAGAAAGATTAGATGTGATCTTAGACCAAACTAGGTATTACATAAGTTTATTTTCAAGTTTTGAATACTTCACGTGCTACAATTTTTGAAAAGCAATACAGAATATCAGACTTGGAATTTGTATTTCCTGATGCTGCATTTCTGCTGTCTGTCACTTGGAGCCAGCAGTAAGAGAGGTTTCCTAATTATAGCAATTAGCCTAGATGTACTGTGCTAAATGGAAGGTCCATCATGTTTTACAGCCTGTCACTGTTCATTTGGCACAATAAGCTTTATTCTTGAAGTGTGTTCTTTTTAGCTGAAGCTAAAAAGCAATATCCAACCCCCACTACCCCCCCCCCAAAAAAAAAAAACCCAAACCTCAATAAAACCCTAATCTGATTAAGAAAGAAAACTCCAATCTTTGTTTTTTAAAACTAAAACATTTTTCTGCATGGATTACTGGATTACTGGTGTTGAGTCATAAGTGAATTCGTGTCAAAAGGGACTTCAGGAAGTGTCCCATCCCAGTGCCTGCTGAAAGCAGGGTCAGGAAAGGAGTCAGACCAGGTTGCTCAGGGTTTATTTTAATCAGGCATTGAAAAGCTCCAAGGATGGATATAGCACAGCTTCTTCCTTGGTCTGTGCCCCTGCTGCTCTGTCCTTGGGAAAATGCTTTTCCTTGTGTTCAGTCTGAACCACTGTTGTTTCTACTTAATGCCTGTTTTCTCTGTGTCCATAAAGGAGAATATATTGCTAGCCCACTGAACAGTGCAAGGAATTAAATTATATTTTTTTATTCCACAGACAGCAGAGAAGAGTCTGTTCTGGGGAGCATCCCTTTGCCTAGTTATGTAATATCTCCAGTTGGACCTGAAGATCGTATAAATCGCAAATTTTCTTTTAAGGTACATTTGCAAAGCTTATCAGCTAATCATAGTTTGTTTGCATTAGAAAAGCTGCTGTTGTAAATAGGAACTCTGTTTTCCTATTTTACTTGTTACCAGTTTTTAAAAGCAGGCAGGTTTATTGACTGCCTATTCAAATGTGACATAACACTTTTTTTTTTTTTGTTGCTTATGAATTGACATTCATGTCTGTTACCTTGTAAGTGTCCTTAGAGCTTAATGAAGTGTCTCTGAGTAAAGAGTCTGTTTCTAAAATCAGAAATTAGTATTGACAGGTTGTTCCATTACTGTGTACAAATTGGAAGAAAAGTTGTGTTATTTACTTTGTAATAGAGTACTTGATTGCATAATGGACTGATGTCTGTTTGGTTTTGTTGTGGCTTTTTTTAAAAACAAAAATATCTACTTAGATCTCGCAGGTAGAAAATGACAGCACTTAGTCATCCTAAGTGGTATGGACTTTTTAAAGGTAAAAGTACTTTTGTTTGATACAGTTTGAGTGGTTTTGTGTTTTTTTCTTTTTCTAAAAATAAATATAATTGTATATTTTACAGTTCTAGTCTTCATTATAAAAGCCCACAGATACGAAGTAAAACATAGACTTCTTGATAGTGCAAAAACGTGACTCCAAATGATTGTCAGAACTGCAGGACGTAGGCAAAGTTCAGAAACTTCCATGCCTGTGGCAGACTTAAAGTCAGAGCAGAACTTGTTTTTCCATCAAGCAAATCAGCTACGTACTTTAAAGTATTTTACAAATCAGGTTTTGATCAGGCATACTTCAGGAGATCTAGAAGGAATCTCTGTTGAAATATTTTCTGTTCTGAAATTATGAAGAACATGTGACTTCTTGCAATTTGATTTTTTGAGGTGTTTTAAAATTGAGACTGCCTTTTTTACTTTCAGTTCTATGTTCAAGTGGATAATGGTTTGAAATTTATTAAGCAAATATTAACTTGGGAAATGTGTTTAAAAAAAGACCTGATGCACTTTGTGGAAATGTTTATTGTACTTTTTAAAATGCATTGAGCACGAGTTATCAAGATAAAGCTACAAAGAAATCTTTGTTTGAGAAAAACATTCCACCTCCACTATTTACTGAGTGTGATTCATAAAGCCCTCCTTTTCTAGAGCCTTTTCCTAGGAGGATGCACATACTGAAAGAGGGGAACTCTGTGTGCTCTTTTAGGGTTCCCTGCTTTTTTATTTTATTCAAATGGTGTTTACACATGCTCTTAAGTCACCACTGGCCAATGGTTTGGTCAAACTTTTGGTTAAACTTTTCCATAAGCAAATGCAGACTTCCTCTGTTCCTTTAAGGATATCATACCTGTATGAGCTCTACCAGTTATTTCATCTGAGTCTTTTTCTGGAAGTATCTTGAGACTTTCTACACAGGGTCTATCTGTATCTATTGATATAGATAGAAATAGGGTTTTGATAGCAAAAGAAAGTTTATGCTAGAAAACTGTAAAAAAGTCGACATTTAATGTGTCAGTTTGTCAGGCTGGTTTTAACTCTGCTTTAGGTGTTTGGTGATTGACTGCAGGCTGGATGCTGCAGTTTGATCTTATTCAGGCCCAACTCCAAGGGCAGCAGGAGGATTTTGTTGGATTCCTGTGGCACAGACCCTATTCACTGCTGTTCAGTGGTCACAGATTTGGCTGTGGGCACCCCACAGCAGGAGCAGCCCCGTGCTGGCATCCATCACTCAGCAGCCATTACCTTTATCTGCTCTCTTCAGAACACCTCCAGACCCAGAGCCTAGATGGACATTCTGTCTCGCAGCGTAACACAGCCAGAAATAGAGCACACAAGCAGATTAAGCCCAAAATAAAGATAAGATTTGTTTTATTTTTGCACTGAAGACCTGAATGAGAAGGAGAATGTGCTGTGGCATTCTTTACATTTGGCTTACTCTTTATTGAGGTTGTTGTAAATCTTTTGTTACAATAGAAGGATTGCCTCCCATTTGAAGTGGCAATGAATTTAGAAGCTAGGGAAACAGCAAAATTGGAAAAAAATTCAACTCTTTTGTTTGCAAAGCTAGAAGAAGGAAATTTGCTAAGCAAATACATGGATACTTTTTGCATATGAATTTGGTTAGAAGGAGGCTTGTAAAATACATGCTCACTGGGGTCTGTGTTAAACATTGCAAAGTGTTGAAGTGTGTGCTGTAGTTCTCAAAATACTTTTCATCACCTCCTGAGGTCCAGCTTAAGTTTTTTTGTCTCTTTGGGTGTTTAACAATTACAGGCCTGCAGAACAGCCCACAGGCTTTTGAAATGCAACCAAACCCCTACTTTATGCGCAAGTATTGCAAAAACCTTTTTTTTTTTTTTTTTAGAAACCGTGTTTTTAGGTTCTCTATCTTGATACAATTTTTGAGTCTTGACAATTTTTTTCACTTCCTCTATTTGTGCCAAGCAAAGTGCTGTGACTAGCTGGAAGCCACTGTCACTAAGCTGTGTGTGAGACTAGAACTTGGAGTCCTTACTGCATATTTGGTTCAGCAGCTCACATCCTAAAGATATTTAGTTAGTCTAATAGCTGCATTTTAAAATAATGGGGTTTTTTGTTGGTACCAATATGAGTGAGCACAAATTCAGTGTTTAGATTTTAATGTGAAAAGGCTTGCACAACATTCATATATAGCTGGAAATACTTCCTGTGAAGAGAAATGCCTGTATTTTGTAGTAATACAATAGTTTTGGACATGAACAGTATCAGTTTATGGAGGTTCATGTCATCACAGTTTCTTTAGAAGCCTTGTTGTCTTAAAATAATGAAAATTATTTAACTGGTCTTACTAATGGAAGTATTTGTTAATTGCTTAAACCACTGTGACCAGGACAAACTTCCTATCTGTTTCTTTGATCTCACTGGTTTTCCTAAAAAAAAAAAAAAAAAAAAAAAATTACATAGTTTGTTCCTTTATGTTTTTTGAGTCAGTGTTGCTTCCTTAGGCTCCCATATTGCTCTGGGTCTGGGGAGTCAGGTGAAGAAATGGCAAGGGTTGTAAATTTGAGAGGTTCTGTTTTCAAATTTGGAAGAGGGGAGGGTGCAAGCTTCTAGAAATTGTCATAAAGCTCAGTATTATTTAAGGGTGAAAGATGAGTTAGGTTGTAGTGGGCTGTTACTGAGTTTGTAGTAACAGCTCAGTGTTATTTCAGTTTTTGCTCAGAAAGGGTTCATGACTATCAAAATTCAAGAGAAGGAAGAATTTTCTGTATATTATTGATCATTGACAGAAAAAAATTGGAAAGATTACTGTTATTAGAAAACTGTTCCTTTAGTTATCCTTTTGTTCTGTGAATGGTGGCTTTTTGGTCTTAAGTATTTTGAACAAGTGGAGGTGAACACAACAGCTGTAGCCAATTGTTACTTTTAGTGCAGTCTTGTTAAGTGTTTTTTGGTTTTTTGGTTTTTTTTTTATTTTAAACATGAATCTTTTAATGATTTTGACTTGTTTAATTTTTTTGTCCTTGTCTTGTCCTGTTGATATGCTCTTGGGGTTTACTGTCCATTTCTCCTACTGTGCACTATGGGAGAGAGACTGCTTTTCTTCTCAATCTATCCACATTAAGGCATCTGAATGCATGAATAGGTACCAATATTATTTTTTCCCTTGTGTGTGTGGTGTTCATGTGAGCATGTGCTGTGTTTTAGGCTTTTTAGTATGCTGTAGCCATCCTAATAGCTTTGGCTTTTTAAAAAAATCCAAACCCAAAAAGCCTGCTAGCTACTGTCTGCCAGCAGGGACAGCTACAGGATGTTGGCACAAAGTGACTTTCTTGCATATAAAACACACTACTAATAAATAACTGAAATTAATTAGAATTTTCCCTTAACCAGTGTTATATAGCATGAACTTCAGGATATTGTGCTTGTTGGAAATCACACACCATCTCCACTATCCTTTCTGAATCTGGGAATGTTTATGGCTGTGAGAGCTTTAGTCTCTCAAGAGAGAGTGGTGCAGCACAGTTTGCATTTTGATGCTGTTCTCACCTGGAGCCTCTTAGGCAGTGCTTGCAGCTGTGTCCAAAGAGAAACCTAAAACAAAAGTAGCTTATGTTGATCAGGGCATATAGATCAATTAAGACAGCTGTTAAATCTATTTCTTGGTGTGGCATACAGTCTCTGCAGATAGTTCTCCAAAAGTCTGGGTTTTTTAAGCAAGTATAGAACCAGTGAATGGTTAAGTCCTGCTGCATCATCTGCAGTGGGACATGCATAGTCTGTTTTGCTGCAGGAATTTATTAACTTCTGAAGTTTAACACCTTCTGTGGGATCACACTGCTCTGTGAAGGAACTCTGTAATCATAAGGTCTCACATCAAAGTTACCGTTTTCTTTTTTATCTGAAGCTGACAGTTTTTGGTCTCTACATACACTGGATAGTAACTGTAAATTATAATGAATTAATGCCTCTAAAACATATTTGCTTTGAGCATTCTCATGCTCTGAAAAAGGAGGAAAAAAGACAACCCCCCAATTGCAAGAAAGAAAAACCAAAGAACTCAACTGGGCAAATATGAATAAAGTCCTTTGATTTCTAAATATGTGATTGATCAGAGCTATTATTTAATATATACATGTAAGTCCTGTTTTCCTGTGTTCAGGTGGGCAGCTACTGCTGGGAATTGAGAAGAAACCACCTTTTTGGCCCATGTTGTTGGGAAGTGGAGACTCTTGAGCGGGAGAGAGTCTTCTTTATGTAACTTTTTCTTGCTCTTCCTTCTCCTCCTCCTCCTGTTTCTAGCTGGCTGTTCTACTTCAGTCTCCAGTTTTCAAAACAAGCTCAGGCTTCCTTGCTTGAGGTGCAGAAGGGAAAGGCCACGTTTCACACATTCAGGGAACAGCCTGCCAGAGGAAGGGAGGAAATTCTGCACAGAACTTGCTTAAAAGCACTGTAATAGCAAGCACATGCTTTGCTCTTTGGAGTTGTTGATACAAGTCTCTAAGGTCATGGTAATTTGGGAAATTCTAGGTAAACAACTGAAGTTATAATATTTAGGAGGTGTTGCGCTAGATTAAATAGCCTGGGTTTTGTCAAAACTTTTCTTTCTGATGCCATCTATGATTGTCTCTACAATAATTTTTAAAAAAATTTGATTTAGAATAACAAGGGGGAGAGGATTTCATCAATATAAAAAGACCAATTATTTAGGCAGGATTCACAAAATAACGTTTACCCTTTAGAAACAGATGTAGCCAAATTAAAACTTTGGTATAATTATTTTTCTTTTTAAAAATCCCTGTGTCAGCAGTATTTAATGCTATTAGTTTTTGTGTGTGATAGCAGGCTTAGTTTTATAAAAAATAAGTTTAAATTACTAATTTCAATTTAATATCATTACAAGAGCTTTCAAGCAGAGTATACTGTCTTCAGTTTTTTTGGAAAGTAAGGAGATCAATCTCTCCCTGCTAATCTGAAGTCTTGCAGGACTTAAATGATTTGGTAATACTTATACTATTACTAATACAAATATGGATGAGATTTGATTAAATTCAGCTGGCCTAGAGTTACAAAGATATTCCATATTGAATAAATTTGAATATTGAATATATTTGTAGAGAAATTGCCCAGAACCTCTAGTTTGCAGTGGAATTTCATGGAGTATTTTAGTGTGCAGAGATAATTGTCAGCATTTTATGTGCTGTGATAATTCCATCAATATTACTAACTTTTATCTGTAAGTCTCGTGACTTTGCAGCTAATATGTGTTCAAGTGCACACTTTAACCAAAAGATCCTAGCATGCATTATAATCAATTCTTAAATTAGCAATTTAATTGCTTAAAAGGTAAGATTCTTGTGTATGTTTTGTCTGAATAAATTTCTTTATTAAATGAGTTGGGAAAATTGACTTGCTGATGCACATCTCATTGAGAATTCCTTAAATTTGTTCAAAATAGGGATTTCTTCAATTTGTTTAGTATAGTATTTAATGGCAAATGAAATGTATCAATTAGAAGAAAAAGAAAAGCTGAAATTTCCCACAGTGAAAATCAGAAGCACTGGACTTTCAGCGTAATAGTTCTAGAAAGAGGCAGAAGAATTTCAGTAAAACCTGGAGTATGTTATGAGTTTACTGCCCTTACAACCCATTGTGACAGTGTGAAAATTCACCCCAAATTCAAGAAGCAGTCAAGGAAAAGTTGTTTTTAAGTTAATTTTTTTTGGGGGGGAAAGGTGAAAGAGCTGTCTGACTTTGATTTCTTTTTTTTCTTCCAGGCTGTTCACACAGGTATGAGGGCATATATTTATAACAAGAATTCTGTCATTGGCTCTCAGGCAGAGCACACAGGGATGAGGACGTACTACTTCAGTGCTGACACCCAGGAGGATATGAATGCCTGGATCCGGGCTATGAACCAGGCTGCTCTCATGCAGACACGCTCCTCACTGAAGAGGCAAGTTCCACTCAGAAGCTTTAAAAAAAAAAAAAAAAAAAATCTTGCAAAAAAACCCCTTAAAATCTTATAAAAACGTAATCTCTTACATAAATCACAGCTGTGGTGGTATCTTACGCTGCTGTTTGTAGATTTGTATATAAAACTCATTCATATTTTAAAGAAAGAATTATTTTTAATTCTCTTTATTTTCAGTTTAATTTCTCTTAATTATTTTAATTTATTCTGTTGCAAAACAGTTAACTGGTATTAAGAAAACCTAGTGTTCAGAATCTGTGTATGCATGCGAGTTGTGTGCCCACAATTAGTGACCTGGATCAATTTCTCTCTATATATAATATTTTGGGGAATTTCAGGTAAAAAGTTCCAGTTTCTGTGGGCAGATTCATACACCTGCCAGAGTCTTTGGGAGAGAGAAGTAGAGGAGAAAGAACAGAAGTTTTATGAGTTATTTCAAATGAGTGTTTAGAATTAGGATTGAAGGGGGAAAAGGATGCTAAAAATGGGTAAATCATAAGTGTATAGAGTTAATGGATATCAACTAATTTATGCAGGTATGAACTGATAATGAACAAATTCAGCTATACCAAATGTGCTTCCAGATTTTTTCATTTTCTGTAAATTGATGTAGTCTTCTTGCTGGTTTGGCTTTGAAATGTGATTCTTTCCCTACTCCTCCATGTGAAGGAGCGCTGTTCTGTGAGACAGCCCTGCTGTAGTCACTGTGGGCTGTGAGGATTGAAATGTCATGGTGCAATTTCTCTGAGTATCTCACACTGCTTTCATCTGGCCAGTCAAATATAAGCAAAGGATCAGTGTCTCTTCCAGAGCTTTACATTCGGTATGATATTGTGTTAAGACTTTCTAGATTTAATTTAAATTTCAAGAAACAACCTGTTACCTCTTTCCTTATCTTCTTTGTAAGGACAGGAATAATTGATAGAAAATTTGGGGAAGTCTGGCACATTAGAAGTATCGATCCAATGTCCTTGCTCCTGAGTAGACTATTCTTTTCTAATTAGACTAAAGTGAAAACAATTTTATCATGGCACTTATTCAGAATTTACTTTCCATAAAGCCTTAAAGAAGCTGAACTTTGTTTCAGAGATGAGGTGCTACGCTGACATCAGTGAGAACCCATTATGTTGTGAGAGAAAAAAGTTGTTGAGAAGCTTATTTTTATAAGGAGGTGAAGAAAATTGCAAATGAAGTATGTAATATGTTAAAAGCAACGTGAAGCTTTCAGAACCCTCAGACATTTTATAGTGAGTTCAAACTGAGTATCAAGATTTATGATATTATTTAGGCAATAAGGTAAATAAGTAAACTAGTGTGTACTGCAGCATGGAGCAATTTTTCTTCAGGAATAGCTCCTCAATAGAAATTCCCTGGGCAATGGTACTGACTTAAATGTGGATATTACTCTGTCCTCTTGGCCAGAAGAGACTGGTCCCTGAGGTGTCTACAAAAATATGAAAGATATTTTTTTATATTTTGCCATGAGCAGCTGGCAGCTTAGTTTTGGTTTTTTGGCTTTCAGTGTTTCCTAGGATAGGAAGATTTTTTTATTTGCAGCTTTTTTGTACATGATGTTTTGCTGAACACTTCTTTCGTACAATACTAGTATTTTCAGTCATTTTTACAGATAAGTAATTTCTGCTTTCTTGACAGCACAATAAAGGTAACTTTTGTCTAACTGGCATAGCAATTGAGTTTTGCTGAGCATATTTATTGTAAGTATCAAATTTATCACAGTCTGCAGACAGGGATTTTGTGGGTATCCTTTGTAAAAGAGCAACAAGACCACACCAACTTTTCACAATTAACCAGTATTCATTACTGACACGCATTTTCTTTTCAGGGAAACTGAAAAAGTGGATCAGCAAGCTGTTCCCCAAGTCAATCATGTGGATGCCTGCAAAGACTGTGTGAAGGCAGAGATTACAGACACAAAAGAAAGTTATCAGAAATCAGCTGAAATGCTTGGATACGATAAGCGTGAAGAGATAAGAAGAGAAAAGGAGGAGGAGGAGCGTTACATCCACAGAAAAGAAACTCTGGAAACCAAAAAGGGAAAGGCTAAGCATGCATTAACAGAAGCTGATTCATTATTTCCAGACTTAAGGAATTCATCCTGGTCCCAAGTAGCTCAGCCTCAGCCAGCTGAGAAGAATGGAACGCTTCCTAGTTCATTGAGTATGAGTGCTGGGCTAGTGGAGCAGAATGGTACTGGCTCATATAAAAGAGGGTTTGTTCCCAGAACAAATCCAGATAAGCAGTTTCAAAGGAAAAGTAACATGGCTCAAGTGGAGCACTGGGTGAAAGTCCAGAAAGGAGATACAAAAAGGTTAGTAACAAGCCCATCTCTAACGAGATGGGCAAGCGGCATTTTCTTAAATTAAAGTGTGTGATACCTTCAGTGCAAATCAAAAAATATTTTATGGAGACAACATGTAAGAAGACTTTTTCCTTCAGTGCAGAATGTATTTTTCTGGTATTTATCTCCTGGAAAAGCCAGTATGGGATTGGCTAATCAAATCTCTTTAATGTTGTCACAGTATTGCAAGCAGAATAAGTGAGATTAGCATGCTATTTTATTTTCCTTCTTTTAATCACTATGGATGCTTAAAACTTCTTAAAATTTACTTAAATTTTGAACAGACAGAAAGTGAAGTGCAACCTTCTGTTATCTCTTATTAGTAAACAATTACACAATATAACTTACAGCTAATTGTTTGTTTTCCACTTCAAAAAGTAAAGAATGCTTATTACTTTCCTTCTCTTTTCTGTTCCTGTTCCAAACATCCATTCACTCCTCTATATCAGATCACTGCACTCAGAGTCACAGTGGGTGTATTACATATTGAAAGGTCTCCCTATATTCATTTAGTTAATGAAGATATCCTAGGATGGTCTTTTTTCCATTTTCAGTCTCTGAAAATTACCAATAGGTGAAATGCACTGGAATGCTTTTGTCGTTTGAAAATCTCATAAGTGTTTTGCTTTCATAGTCAGATTAAGTGCCAGTTGGACAAATGAAGTGATGAACATGTGTGTCTGTTCAGAATGTCACCTTGGGTCAAGTGGTAGGAAGAACATTTGGGTTTGATGCTACTTGTGAGGATTTTTCAAAGATGCTTGTTCTGCTGAATTAAGTGTTTTATAAATCTGCTCAAATCTAATTATAGCATAAACAAACAAGAGAGCTTGGCATGTGGTTTTTAGGAGAGAAAAAACATTTTGGGAATTAAATTCTTTTTTAAGCTAACATTTGTCAATTCAGAGCCAGTAAGAAGCTTCAGGCTTCCTAATTTTGTGTGGAAGTCCATTCTTCTATTCTTTTATTTTTGAAATTACCCTTGAAGAAATCTTCTTACTTTTTTACATTATGTCATATTCTTTTAGACTGCTAGAGTCACTTAACTTCCATCTTTTTTGCTTGGATATTAATCAGGACTTCTCAAAAGAATATGAGTTTAATGAAAAAAAGTAGTTGGCAAGTTAGTTCTTATTACACACATTGATTTGTCTGAAATAATACAGAAACTGATTGAACTAATGAGCTAATGCTTAAAAAGCTTCTATTGATGTTTTTTACATCACAAGTCCTGGAAGTGACAGGCTTGACTAATAGCTAAATAAGTGTGGTTTTCTTCCAAATTACTCTTTTCAGTAAATTAACTTTAGGGGTGTGTATCAGGTGCAGTGTTAAGATAGTGTTGTTGCAGGTGCCAGGCTTTGTTCTAGAAGAAACCAGCTACCTCAGCTGGAGCTGCTGTGTATTTCACTGCTAAGTAAAAATAAAGATAGATATATGTATGTCTGTGTGTATCTATTTCTAGATATAGCTCTATATCTGCATATACATACCTCTAGAAATGTCTATTTTGGCTCAGTTGACCTTGTTTTCTTTGCCTTTTCCTGACAAATGCCATTATATTCTCTGCATTCAGAATAAATTGCATGTTACCTTCCCAAAGATTGAGTCATCTTTCAAATGGCACCTGCTGAGGGTGCTTCAGTGTTGTTAAATGATGGATAGAAGCGGAGTGTTAGTTGTCAAATATCTTCCTGATTGCATGGTGTAGAAATTTAAGCTAGAGATGATAATTTGATTGACATTACATTTTTATTTCAGTAAGTAGTAGTAGACCACTTAATTTTTTAAAGCTCCACATTGATTGTTATTCCAGCTGGAATCTTACAAACAGAAAACCTCTGAGGATTCAGAGGGCTGGGTAGTTCTTGAACACAGAATGAATACAGTTTTTATTTGTTTCCTGGCTCACGTGTGTACAGATGCAGTACTTGCCAGCAAGTTGCTTATGACAAGAAAGAACTCTTTCAGCTAAAGGGTTTACACAAATACTGAGATTGTCCATATGACTGCTTGTAGGCATGGCACCTTTTATATAGATCTTCCGACCTTTCAAATAGATGTTTTACTTCCCTTTTTAATGAAGCAGTCTATTTGCTGAGTGGTAAATGTTAGTTAGCTGTCACTTTGGAGACCCACCTCTCTCAGTGGCCTCTCAGCTGCACTCCAGTGGCATCCAGTGTAGGCATCTGATCCCACTCTATTCTCAGCAGATGGGAATACCTGCTTTGGTAAATTTTATGCCAGCCTTTCAGAGAGATGCCAAGAACTGGAAGAAAGTTTGAAAGGAGGCTTTCAGGAGGCTTTGGGTTTTAAGTAGTTAAAGGTCAATGTCAGAACTATCAAACGTCAGCTGTTCAGAAATTGTTAGGTTTTGATCTGGTTCTGGTGCCTACTAAGTATAAATTTAGTGCATAATTATGAAGAATTTGCTATTTCTAACAGTTTACTTGCGTTTTAGAAATACATAAATCCAGTTAAGCTTAATATTTCCCCCCTACATGCAGTGATGTTGAGATACTTCCTTCCTTGCAAAGAATGTTAAAGCCTTTCTTGTTATGCAGAACTTTCTGTTCCTTCCTGATTTGCTTAAGAAGAAACATTACTTGTCTTTGTTAGCTTCTGTGCATTCCCATGAATGGGCACAGTGTTTCTAATAATAGTACTTGTTGTCTTTTGGACATCTATCTTCTCTTTTTACAATATCTTCTGTGTGGTTGCTTCCCATTAAAGACCCTGAAGGTTTTCGTGGCCAGCAGTCATGTAATATGACATCAGGCCATTTACGCACTCTTTAATGTCTGCTTTCCTTTTAAAATTCTCTACACCTCATCATTCAAATGAGGGAGATTCTCAAGAACAGCTGCTTTTGCTCACTTTTGCTCTTAACCTCCAAGAAAGCAATAGTCCATTGTGGACTAATGTGAGCCATTTGGGACATTATTCTTTACCTAGAAGTTGGTGTGTTGTCTCAGAGCCCATTTTTATATGATGTAAATTATCTCTAAGCATCTCAAAGCTTGTGTGGTAGAGATGCCATCAGCTCAGAGCCTGTCATCTCAGCTTGAGGTTTCTCCTAATTCAGATACTGAGAAAACACAATGTGCCTCTATGTAGGCAGTTGCCTCCAAAGTTCAGCTCTGAATATGACTTTCCCTGTGCAATGTTATCCACATTCAACTTTGTTTTCTTTTTATAGCAGGCTGAAATATTGCATGAAACTGGCTCATATCAGCTGTTCCACGTACTGCTTTCAAAATAACCGCTTTTAGTGCTTCCCAGAAAAATTCATCCTTTTCTAGGAGGAAGGCATGACTCCCCTTGCCCCCAACAAAACTCATGTTGTCTTTGTTTTCAGGTTGGTTTTGCTCCTAAAGCTGCAAGCCCTGCTGGCTTCGCTGATTGCCACCAATTCCATCTGATCTCAATATTCTGCCTTTTAATGTCCAGTCAGAAAGTAATCACATGCAGGTGGTTTGCAATATCTGATAGTTTGCTGACACCTTCAAGAGGTCTCCACTTAATTGGGCTATAGGAGTGGTCAAGTCACCCTTCCCTGTTTTTCCAATGAGAAATCACCAAAGAAATCTGTCTTAGCATCAGATGTCTTTTATCCCCTCCAAGCATTCCTGGTTCTTATTGCTATCTAGAGGAAATACATTTCTACCCTGTTTTCCTGTGGAAAAAAATTGAAATTGCCAGCAAAGTACATTCAAAGTGCACATAATGCAATGAATTAGAGAATTAAGAGGTTCCATGACCACTGTATGCTGATCATTGAGTTGCCTGTATTCATATTACCTGCCTGCTTTAACCTTCACTCTGAAATTGGAGGTAACATCGAGATTTTGTGGTATGAGGGAGCAGAGCCTTTACAGATTTGTAAGCCACCAGGCAGTGCAGGGCAGTTATTGTGCTTGCTGGCATGAGGAATTATGTATCCTCTTCAGAGTACCCATATTTCAAGGCAGTCCAACAGTGTCAAATTCTGCAAGTAAAAAGGGATGGTGGCAACTACTGAGCAGCAGTTGCTGGTAGCAAATCTTTCCTCCTTGCTTCAGTTATTCTTGGATACTGAACAAAGATGTTTTTTTCCATCCTGGCCTTTCTTTCATGTGGAATTCCTGCATTTTCCAAACCATGAGGTCTCCCTCTTACTCAGAGTGAAACTTACTGAGTGAAGTGATGAAAACATCTCAGCTTCTTTGTTTGTGTGGTTTTGTGCTGGGTTGGTTTTTTAATTTTGGGGTTTTTTTTGTGTTGATGCTTTGTAGCAAGCCTAGCAGAATGCTTTTCACTTTGGAGGTTCTGAATAAATGGGTAAATGACTCCAAGTACAAAACCCCCAGATATTTGACTGAAGAATCAGAAATTAGACAGGCAGGCTCTTATACATGAGGCTATGGAAAGATTTTGTCTTCAAAGGAGAGAGGGAGCTAACTAGGCTTTGTCAAAACTTTTGCCAGTTCTATCTTAACACTACCTACTAAAATATCTAGTTTGTACAGCTTAAGTGTTTTATGGGTCCAATACTAAAGCCAGGATGTAATGCTCTTTTATATTCTAATTTGTCAATGACCTTTGTTGTAAAAAGTCTCACATTGCTCAAATCAGTAGAACCAGTAGCATTAGGTAGAAATAAGTTGTACAGACCTGTGGACTTCAAGCAGTTTCTTTTAATTTTCTTTCGTTTTGCTTTATTCACATGAACAAAAACTATCTGAGATATTCTGGATTGATGAGATTTCTTCTTGCTTTTAAAGATACTTATATTGAACATGTGTTTCTTTTCGTGAACTGCACCACCTAGTGGTGAGCACACTTCCTGCGAAAGGAATATTTTAATTTATAGACTCCCTCGGTAAACATGACAATAATTCCTTTCTTTATGTTCTTGACTTTCTTTTTAGTTAAGTACATCATGCTGCTGTTCCTTAAGTTTGTAGCTAGTGGTTCATCCTAGGTTAAACACTAAACTAATATCCTGTATTCCTGCAGTGTAGTGTTTGTGTGCAGGATAGATGTCATTAATATTGCTTTGTTAATACTTCTATGAATTCTGTTAAAATTTCTGTAGTTCTTCTGCTTATGTCATTAGAGGTGTTTGTTTATCAGTGACTCCCACTCATCAGTGTGTGCTAAAATCTACCCTTTTCTTTCCTTTTTTTTTTTTTTTTTACAGCCTCACTTCTGATCAGACACTTACACGTCAGGGTCCCAATCCTCCTTTTCCTGAAAACTATCACACTTTGCCAAAGAATACCAGGCAGCCTTCAGGGAGCTCACCACCACCAAACCGCAACTTGCCGAGTGACTACAAATACGCACAGGATCGTGTCAGCCACTTGAAGATGTCCCAGGAGGAGAGGAAAGCAAATAAGGATGGAACTGTTTGGCAGCTGTACGAGTGGCAGCAGAGACAGCAGTTCAAGCATGGCAGCCCCACGGCCCCACTTTATGTAGGTTCCTCAGACTTCATTGATCGTGCCAAGTCGAAAAGTTCATTAGATGTTCCGCGATCAATATCTGTTCCGCCCTCTCCGTCTGATATTCCTCCACCTGGACCTCCAAAAACCTTTCTCCCACGGAGACCACATACTCCTGCAGAAAGGCTCACGGTTAAACCATCTGATGAGAGACAGGCTGTGGATGTTCCTCTGGCTGGATCCCCCAGGAAGATTCGGAATCGTGCTGTAAAGGTTGGTATCCCTTTAACTGATTACAAACTGTTCTACACGTGGTGTCACACATGAGGGATTTATTTAGTCGTGGTTCATTGCATCCTTCCTCATGTATGAAAGATGATGTAAGTTGTAAAAGCTAATACAAGGAATAATTTTCTCCTCAAGCTCTTGCCATTCTGGTCATATTTATTAACTTTTATTTGGTTTGGAAGGGAAAATTGGTGGCACATCACATAGGTTTGGAATATTTTAATAAAAAGCTGGAAGGCATATGCTTACATGTATAAAGTGTACAGACGGTAGTATTTTTATATAGAGAGTATGAAGGCAAGAATATAAAACTCAGCAGGACGGAATCTTCCTTGGATATTTATTTTTGCTTGTAGCTTTGTGTTTGCTGTGCCTGCTTTCTCTACATGTTTTGCTATTGTAGTTAGTCATACAGCTGATTCTGGTTTTAGTTCTGGTAAAAGCCATATTATTATTATTATTACAGTAAAAGATATTATTTTTCATGCATTTAATAGTTAGGTCCAATAGGTCCATTGGGCTAGCCAAATTCAAATAGTGTTGGTCTGAACCTTCAACTGTCTGAATAATTTCAGTATGGGTTTTTCTTTGTTGGGACTTTTGTACCCTCTTATCCAGAGGTGATAGAGGTTTCCCTATTTAGTACTCTAAATGCTCTCCTTGCCTAAGGAATTTGAAGAAATTTGTGTTGAATCAATAAAGGACTGACTTGTCTTGGTAGATCTGGAATAATTGGTATTGAAAGCCTCTGTATTCACTTAATTCTTTGACCTCAGCCACAGCCTCTGATAAGGGAAAGTATCTGCAAAGAGAGATACTTATAAATCCAGATACCAGTGTGGGTTTAGGACCATGACTTTATGCTGCAGCTTCATACACAGTTTAGATTTTTTTTCTAATGTGTATGTTGTGTAGCTGTTGGGTGTCTTTCAGCATTTATAGATTTATAATATTCTGTCAGAAGGAGAAATAGCCTAGTGATTTGCAGAACTGGAAATTAATATTTTTAACTCCTGATTATATTCTACCACACATTGGTTTCTCCACATGTAAGTTGAAGGAGCATGACATCCTTACAAAGGCATGTACAGCAGTCTTTTCCTTTCTTGTGCAATATAACTGCACAAATTTTATGCTCTTTTCATGGCATCTTGGCTTTACCAATATTGGGAAACACAATTCCTCATCATGAAAACTTTTCTGTGGAACTTCTGGGAAAGTCTGTAGAGAAAAATGCTCATTTTTTTTATATAAACACACAGCATTATTCTACATTTAAATGTGTCTGCATTATTCTATGATACTCCATGCTCCCTGTACTGCTCTATTAAATTCCATCCAATTGCACTTAAAAAAGAAACAAGGCAGGTGAGGCAAATTCAGTGAGAGGCAGGAATAAAAATAACTGAGACATTTAGCCTGCCTTGAAGAACCCATAGAACTCTGGCTTTGAGAGAAAGATGAAAGAATGAGTGTGCAGTAGGCTTTCATATTGTAAGCAGAAAGGGGCAGATCAAGGATGATTATTAAAAATCCCCTTGGTATTGATGGAAGCCATTGCCACAAGGTGTCAGTCATGTCAGTAGCTTCACATTGCCTGGCTAAAAGAGAGCATTCACGGTTGTTGCTATGTGCAGTCCAAGCCTGCTGTCAGAGGGCATCATCCAGCCAGGCTTTTTTCTGGGAGACACTGGGTGTTGGGGGGAACTTCATGAAGTCTTATTTTATTCGCTGAAAGCGACATTGCACATTCTGCTGAAGCATCTCATGCTGCCACAATCCACTGCTCTGCCCAGCATCACAGGTGCTGAATTTGCATCTGTTCATTCATAAGTTTTTACTCATCAAAGGATTGGTCTGCCCAGTGAGTGTTACCCTGATCTAAGCACGCCACGAACTCGAGTAGAAAATCTGTGGCAGTGGTGCAGACTGAGTTTGCCACAGCTGGCACTTGACACAGTCCTTACCCTGTGGCTGTGGCTTCTTGCAGAGCTCCACTCACCTGGATCGCCGCTCCATGCCTGCCATGGGCTACATGACGCACACGGTGAGCGCGCCCAGCTTGCACGGCAAGTCGGTAAGTGCAGGGCACGGCCCCTCTGCTCTCCTCCCTCTAGTGCAGCCAAGTTTAAAAATCCATAGTCTTTAATCTTAACTCTATTAGTTAAAGCATAAATAACTCGAATGAGAGCTTAATCGTAACCCAGAAAAGCCTGTAGGACTTTTGCCTTTATCTGCAACATGAGCAGGGGTGAGCTTTCTGTTATTACAGGATTCAAGTTTTATTATGTTTATTTGACCAAATGTAGAGTTAATTAAATAATTGCTTAATCGTGTCAAGTAACTGCTTTCTGGGCACTGAGGTGAAAAATGTAATTATAGTTCCTCTCCCTGAAGACTGCTAATTTCCTCTTTACAATGTGTCTAAATACCTGCAGCCTGAAGAGTTAACATTGCTTCTCATTCGATTAAGGAGACATCAGGCTAAGTTGGCTAGTATAAGAAATTACACAATCGCTCAGTTACTGCAGCACTTGCCAACTAATTCCACCTATCAGGTCAGCTGCTGCGTGGCTCATCTGTGACATTTTGTGACTCTGCAAATGCTTCATTAGTGGCATGCTTGAGTCTGTGCTTCCTTGCCCATTCTTTGGTATTCCACAGTGCCCAGGTCGTTTGCGGGTTTTCTTTGCTTACTGTATTTGCTATAAAAGAGGAGCGTTTTTAAGTTACAGGTCGCCAGTGCATCTGTTTCAAAGTGTCTACTTCCTTTTTATACTGTGTATTTTTACTATTTCTGAAAATGCTGCATCTTCAGAAATGTGGGTTAAAATACTGTGTAAGTTCATTCTAAAGCAAAACCATTTCTTTGTGCTGCTTTCATGGTGGGGCTGGCTCCCTGTGCCACGTGCTGCATCACCTGCAAATTGAAATGCATCAGCCAGTCTGTACATTCATATGAGCTTGTAACTGTGTCAGTTCTGCAGGTGAACATTGGTTCATAAAAGCTCAGGAGCCTCTTGGATCATCTGTGGTGCTCTTGATTGCACTGGTGTTACTAAACCTGTAAATGTGAAATCAAACAGAAATGTACTCACAGAGCTTTCTGGTTCTTATTATAGCCTCAAAAATGGAGCCACCTGGGAATAAAATCTGGTGACTCTTCTTGGAATTGATGAAGGTTTTGGCCCAAGACTAAAGTGATTTTTTTGAATTAAAGAAGTTTAATTTCCCAATTACCTCACCTACAGAACAATTGCACTAAGATGGGTGGTAATAACAGGGATTTCCCCAAAAATGGGCAGACTTTCTAGTCAAGTCCTCAGCCAATCTTACAAGCTGATCTGACCAGAATTGTAAGTGAAAACCTCTAAAGAAATGCAAGTGTGATCTACTGATTTTATGGCATAAAGGGTTTTTCTTTTCTTTTTCTAACTACACATTCTCATTGGCTCAAAACTTGAGAAAAGGTATAGTTGTGTTTTTCTTTTATTCTGAAGTTAATTGCACCCAGGATATGAAATGCTGACAAAATAGCAGTTAAATTCTAGGAAGTTTTGGGCATTTTGGCTAATTACAAGTAGCGCATTTCAACAGTTAAACTTTATTTTGTATTGCAAATATCCCCTTTCAAGAGAGGAGAAAGAACTTTCTTATGACTTCTCTGCATGTTTTTCTTGGAGGGACTGTAATAAAGATGTTGCTAGATGAATATAACTATAAAACTAAGCTTAATATAACTACAAAACTAGCAATTACAGGTGAGGCAATGAAAAATAAGGGTCAACTTGAATGCTATTACTTAAAGGACAGAATGGATTGTCTAATCATATATAAATGAGATATTTTTCAGAATTTTATTCACAAAACTGATTTTTTACTTTCCCTGAATGAAGGAATTAATATCTTAAAATGCATATAAATTGTGATTAAAAGTATCATAATGATATATTATATGATGTCTTCTAGTTACATCTGACATCCAGTCACACCACTCTTACTTTTTCAGTGAAGGGCTAGTCAGTGGAAATTGATCTTGAAAAAATAATTTTTAAAAATGCATTGTTTCAGGTAGTTCTGGGTCATATTAGAGATTAAAACAAAAATCTAGATGCTTGGAGGGGGGGTAAGGAGGCAGTAATACTCTTGGGAGATACTCTTTCCCATTTTTTAACTTTAAATAGCAATATGCTGGTGGAGCAAATGTGCTTTTCTTTTATGTGCTCCTACTCTGTTTTTTTGTTCTCTCTTCCATCTGTTTTCTTGTATATAGCAAATCCAAATATTCTGAAATGGTTCCAAACATTCAAATATATTGCACTGTTTTTTTCCTATGTACTTACCTGAAGGCGGATGACACTTACATCCAGCTGAAAAAGGATCTGGAGTATTTGGATCTAAAGGTAAGATTTTAGATGAGTCTACTTCATTTTTTTACCTTTTTTTCAACCCAGTTGTCTTTTTTGTATTGCGTTTGTATCTGCAAATTTTAAAGTAACTTTCTAGTCTGAGATGGAAACTGCTTTTGTCTGTGCTTAGAATATTTAGTATCTTTTTAGTATCAACTATACAATTAAGGTGAAAATTCTGAAAATGAGATTTCTTTAGTTTGTGAGAATGACTTGTGTTGTTGGTAGTGAGATGGATGATATGTGGCTTTAGGGAAGTCAGATAAAAGAACAGAATGAAAATGTTTCTCTGCTGTAGCATTTGTACCAATATGAAGTCAACACCTCTAAGTTAAAATGCACGTTCTTTTAATGCAGCTTTTCCCCTTTAAATCTTCTTAAACTGACTTTTCCATGATTTGTATAATGTGCCATATATTCTTGTGAAAATGTGATTAATTAGCACTGTCATTGTTTTCATGTTATTACAGCTAAAAGACTTCAAATGCACCCATTCATCCAACCATCCATACAGAGAATCTGGTCAAGTAATGTTAGGAGGTATTTCTTTTTAAAAAAGAATTAAATATAATACTGAGTGTCCTATCACTTGTCTAAATGACTTCTGTCTGGTACACTTGATGGTTGGCAATTTGAAAGCAAATCTAAAGTTCTTAATATCAGGTTTGGAAAGGAAAAAAAAAAAAAACAGCAAAAGGATTGTTTCACTTAGCAAAGTAGTTTGCTTCTTTCTGTGGGGATGTAGGATGTCTTGCCATATATAAATCACGTGGTTCCTGAAAATCAAGGTGAAGGGAAGTTTGACACCGTGTTGCCTGTCTGGTTTGCATGTACAGAGCTCACTGTGCCATGGGATGTTGCCTGTGAGCTGATTGCACCTATGAGGATGTGCATTTCAATCTTATCTGATGTTTGAATTTCTGAATATATAACCAAATATATAAATGGAAAATATTACTATAGAACCATATATGTATTTAGCGTGTAATATAGGTGATGTGTATGTAGTCTAAATGATCAAATATGTAAACTGTTGGAATCATGAATATAAAAAATTTAAAATTGGTTGGACACATTTCGTTTTAAGCCTTGTCCTTGGTTTGTTCACGGCTTTTCCAAATGTAACTGCAGCCAACTATCAGATTAATTTTATGACAAATTACAATTTAAAAAGTCCTACAAGGTGAGAAATTATTAATAATCACAGTCTTTTTTCCATTATAAAACACAGTAATTTTCACAGTTGAAGTGACCACAGGTGAAGCTTCTGAAAATGTGATATGCTTAGCAAAATTCTTAATGGGGGGTGTTCCTAACTTTTTGGTGGGTTCTGTCCAGATCAGTTTGTTGCAGTCTGGAACTCAAGGAGATATTTGGTCTCTTAGAGTTCCCCTTGTGCCTTCCTACTGCCTGTAGCACCTAACAAAAACAGCCAGAAATAAAAATGTACAGGGGCACCTGATACTTCTGTGCAAAGAAACTTAATGCCAGCTGGTTCCCTTTTGAAAATCTTGACACTCAAAACGTCAAATGTGTTTCCAAAGGAATATGTAAATTTTCAAAATGGGCATTTCTTAATAACCTTCTTTCAGTATTGGTCCAGAAATGTAGAGTTTCAGCTCAGGTTGCTGAGAGATTAAAGAGCCCATGTGAAACTCGAGAAGGTGTCCTTGTATTGGTTACGTTTGTGTTTTTCCACTAAATGTAGCAATGCTTTGATTTGTGATACAAGGAAAAAAGAAGAGTGCACTGCATGAAAGGAAGCAAATGACACAGATTTTAATAACAGCAAATTCCCAGGTCATGTATGCAATATCTTCCATTTAAGATGCTGGAAACTTTGATAGAAAGCCAATTAGTTCAAGTATTTCTTTTGACTACATTGGGCTTTGAATTAGACCCACCCTGATTAAACAACTTAAATTAGGACATTTTGGAATTGGAGTTACACTTTTTTCTTTTCACTAAATCCATTATTTCTGGAGATCTTTCTTAGGGGTTTCAAAATGGACCTTTTCAATGTGGAATTGTGATTGAGCAATTAACTGCAGAGTTCTTAGGTGTGACCTGAGAGTGTGTGATCCCTGCTGCTTGTGGAGTTTTGGAGGTTTGGGGGTTTAAATCTTTAAAGTCTGTAACAAGCTATGACTGAACTTTTGTTTGAAACAGATAGAAAATAATGGACCTCTGATCAACATGATATACAAAGTGCTAAAGAACTCAGCACAAGGGTTACTATCCAGTATACATGTAAGACTGCTTGCATTGAAATGTGCTCATCCCATCGCTTTTTCAAGTAGCAGTCAGTGTTCTGGCTTTTACAGGTGTCTTTTGGTGCACAGTAGTGCTTTCTGTAAGATTTTATTTTACTTCCCTTTTTCTCCCTCTCTTTTGGAGTCTGTATGCGAAATTATGGCTGATCTCAGTGTTTGGTTTCATTTTATCATGTTTTGAAAATGAATGTGTCAAGTAGTGACTCCTGTGTGAAATTTGGAAAATGTGAAAGCATGCTTAATCCTCATTATGTTGTCATGTTCGCTGCTTGATAGTTAACAAATTCCTTACAGTTTTGATTATGTAATTTAAAGTATCCCCAAATTCTGTAGGCTTGTTTTTATGTTTATTCTGTTGCTTTGAAAAAGGCTTTTGCATTGTCTTAGCTTGCAGGTAATTACATATGCAAAATTACTACTTTTGATATGCTGGTATTTTATGTTTATATTTAATTAATTGTTATAATTACATATAAGAATTGCCATTGAAATAAGTTCATTAATACTTTTGAAAGACAGTTTTTTCTTCTATATAATATGTAATTGGTGAAAAAGATATCAAAAAATTGAAAGCTTCTGGAGGCAGTTAATACTCTTGATTTTGGTGGTGCAGAAGTAATATTGCGCCACTCAAAAGTACATGAGAAGTCTTTAAATGGAGTCTGCCACTGAAGGACAGAAGACAATATTTACCTCACTTAGGGTAAAATTTAATTACTTTTAAAAAGCCAACGTGATCCTGTAGGTGACTCTTAGGTTATCACGTCAAATATGTAGCTTCAAGTCTGGAGATTCCTGGTTGGTAAATAAGCAAACTGCTTCTTTATACCCCTCTTACCTCACTAAAAAAGCCAATAACTTCAGCTTTTGTATCAAAGTCTCTCCTCTTATATTACTGAAGACAATATTGAAGTGAAATATTCTTCATAAACTTTTGCCTGTATATAACTATGCTGTATATGAATACTGCTAATCACCAGGTTAGATAGATCACTGTGGTAAGAGAGTATTTGCTGTAATGAATCTTTAAAACTGTTCTAAAGAGGTGATATTAAATAATTAGATTTTAAGGCTTTCAAAAAATATATTATTTACCAGCTTTATTACATTGCTCTTTTCTTAGCCTCGTTTGTTCACAAAGAGGGTCCTGTGTAGGCAGTGGAAATCACAAACATTTCTACAGGCACAGACATGCCTTAATTTTGAAGGTTGGAAATACAATTGAGTATTGTTTCAGTACTGATTTGAAAACTGTGTTATGTGAGAAGATAATCTCACCAGAAATGGAACATGAAACCAGTGATTTATGGAATGAGAGATTTGGTACATGACAGCCACGTCAAAATAGATTAATTACATTTAATTCCACTATAGCATTTTTATAGCAGTCTCTCTTTAGTAAAATCCACCCTGTGCTGAGGAAGATACTGTCCTTTGTAGAATGAAAAACTTACCAAAAGTTGTATTTTTAGGCACTCAGGAATGCCTGCTACTGTTGCAACCATGCATTGAAATTCCTTTGGCTTCAAGAAAGCTGTTAGGGTAGAACTGTTAAAACTATTCTGTTTTAATAGAATAGTTAAAACTATTAGCTCTTGCAGGAAAAGGACTTTTGTAACCAGAGACAGGTGGGATTATGCTGTTTTGTACAGAATTCCAAGCTGTTGGAAGAGTTACTAAATAGCCTAATGTAACTTGTAGTCCCTTTTGTTAGCACTTCTCAAAAACTAAAGCCAGATTTGAAAATACTTGTATCCAAAATTTTATTATTTTTTCCTTAATAAAAGTGAGTATTTAACAAAAGTTTTCTTTTCACTGCTGAAGCATCATTAGGTTTTAGTTTGCAATGAATTTCTTACATTTTGAAAATCTGTTCCTCTTAGATGACAGGACGTGACACATTGAAAGAAAGAAGTGCAAAACCTGTCAAGGTGGCAGAAAGTGATATTGATGTAAGTATCAAACACCACTTCAGCGCCTCTTGCACTGATTTGTCTAGTTCTTTTGTACAGGTACGTGATCATTGTTATGCTCCTTGGGGTGAAATATTTCAAGGGGATACTTTTCTGCTTGGTTTTTAAAATCTAACCTTATGTATGTATGTGATTTCATTTCCAGGTGAAACTCAGTGTTTTCTGTGAGCAGGACAGAATTCTGCAGGACTTGGAGGACAAAATAAGAGCCCTTAAGGAAAATAAAGTAAGCAGGTTAAAAAGGGCTTACTAAAATAAAATAGAAATCTTTATCTAATACTGAAGTATAAAATAGGAAATTATAAACAAAAAATTGAATTAAGGGAGGCTGATTGCACTGTATTGTGTATATATGATAACAAGAATTGGCTTTTATTTTAGGATTGAGTACCCATTCTGAGAAAATATGTTTTTGAAAGTGAAAGTTTTAAACCCATCTGCTTCACTTCCTGTGAGCTATAGCTGTCAGTAAACTGATATGGTTACAAAAACAATAATAATAATAAAAAATATACATCCTAAAATGAAAGTACTGTTCAGGTACATCCTGTAGAAGAGCTACTGTGCAAAATTAATTCCATGTTAATACTCCTACTAAATGAATTGGGCTTGTTTCATGTTTTAGAGAATATTTTAAACCCTGACATGACTGTTTCACCCATAGCAGTGAAGGAGAACCTGCCCTTAAACAAACAGCTCATGCTGGGCTGTGGTAGGGCTGTCATAGTTCTATACTGCTTAAGGGAATTCTCCTGAAACTTTTGTACAGAGGGTAAACAGAAAAATTCCCCTCTCACTGCTTTGTGTTTTCAACGGTTTTGACTGCTTAATGGGAAGGATGAATAGAAAATATCAGATAATTCTGGATACAATAGGTAATTAAAGCTCCTGCAGTTTTTGTTTACGTGTGAGTCTCCAAAAGAGGAGGCCAATCCTAACCTCTGCTGGTTTATAGGGAAGAGCTGGGGCATGGAAAACACCTTTCGTATTGCTGCATGTAGATGCATAAATTTCCATGTAAATGTTGTAAACTTACTGCTGTCTTCTTTGTTAGGATCAGCTGGAGTCTGTTTTGGAGGTTCTACATAGGCAGATGGATCAGTACAAAGACCAGCCACAGCATGCAGAAAAAATATCTTACCAGCAGAGACTTTTGCAGGAGGACCTTATACGTATTCGGGCTGAAATATCCAAAGTTTCAACGGTACATGGTTTTGGTTGCTTCAAGAAAACCAGAATTAAAATCCCAGTTAATCTAAAACTGTATTGATCATTTGATAGGGGAGTTAAGACCTATTGTGAACAGTTTTGGTTAAGGTACAGGATACTAAACCAGACCAAAAAAATGAAACACTCTCTCCAGCTTTTTTTTTTTCAATGCCTGCCTCCCATGCCACCAAACCAAACAAAAACCCCTAACCTTTTCAATGTCTTTATATGTTAAGTGTGGGCTTAAATTACAAATCTTTCAACTAGTCTTGGAAAATATAAATGTGATTCCAGGTTAAAGGGAGTTGGGAAAATCTGTTGATATTTCAGTAAAAATTTACCATTCATATTATAACTTAATAAAATTCAAATGTAATTTAATGTCATTTTCACTCTATTATTACTATCTCTTCATGAATATGAGACTAGCTCTTTGTAAGACTATTTCTAAAATTGCATTAACACCTTCCCTATGGTAAAGTCTGATCACTAAAATGACAATGTTAATTACATGTAGCTAGTCAGTTTGTGTTTGTAGAAAATGTATGGCTTTCGCAGTCAGCATATGAAATGTACTTGTGAGTGTAAATAGCAAGTCACTGGGAGAAGTGCTGGACTGGTACAGGGATTCTGTTACCTGCCACTTTGGTTTTGTGTCAGGAAGCTGGCCAGAGGTTTTTAACTATAGGTTCTTGACTATGAAGGGTTTTCAAGTGTTATGATCAAGTCTAAGCAACAATGTAGACTAAAATGGCTTCTTTACTTCTTTTTATAATAGAAAATAGTAACTTCAAAACACTTTGGTGCTCAATCAGAGGACAGAGAAAGTGGTTTTGAAGTTAGCACTGTATTAGAGTATTCCTTCTGTTAACAGGAGATGGAAAATGCCTGGAATGAGTACCTGAAATTAGAGAAGGATGTGAGCCAGCTGAAAAAAGCCTTACAGGAGCAGATGAACAGTTCATTGGTATCTCAGGTGAGTCCATTTCCAAATGAGTCCATTTCCAGATACTGTGAACACTTACAGGATGATTTAGTTACCATTTCATAAGAGAAATTTTCTCTGCCATTTTTGCAGTGTGCTCAGCTGTCATGTAATTGCTTTGCAGAGTTCAGGCACTGTGGCAGCATGGCTGTGCAGTGAAAAAAAACACTGCATTGTCTTGCAGCTCATGCAGTAGTGCCATAGTTTCTCATAAGCTGTCTATACAAATTTGTCATTATTTTATTACGTTTTTATTACATGCTGACGTCTTGACAGTGATAACCTATTCAATTTCTAAGGCTGTGCAGGACTTCTCAGCCTTCATTTATTTGATCTGACATTGTTAGCTTCTTTTTCCATTTTTAAGAGCATCAGTCACTGGTTATTGTCATTACTTGTTCTTTGTCATGTTCTTCTATTTATGGAAGATTTATCTCTGCAGATTGTTTTGTGAAGTGGAATAAGTGTTTAACAGCCATCAGTAATTGAAAGGCATCTCAGTTTTAAATCAATTATTCAGTTTCAAATTTTAAAAAGAAGCTTTGTTTGAAGCTCAGTTATTTTCTTTGCTGAAATGTATGTGGAATACCAGATTATTTCTACGTATCTGCTTTCAGCTGGTGACTTTATTGTCAGGGAATACTGGATAATTTTTCCTTTGTGTGAGCTAAACACAAGGAACACAGTTAATGTATACATTTTTTCTTAAATCTTAGTCTAATTTTCCAATATCCTGGAACAAAAGAGCTCACTAGTTACATTTTCTTAGCTTGTTTGCATTAAGTATCTGATCAGATATAATTTGAAGCCTGTTTATGTTCACTATTAATCAACAAATGTTAGTATCAAAGCAAGAGTTGTAAAACCTTTTTTCATTGCATCAATCTTCCAAGTACGTTTTAATTTACTTTTCATTTTGGGGTGTGGGGAAGTGATTCAGTTTCTGGAGTCAGAATATGTAATTGAGCTCAGCTGTAGAATATATTTTAAAGAAAAAATCCCAGAGGAATATTAGCATAAAATGGTCCTTGTATGAAACTACTTAGTTTAACAAAGGCAAATTACACCTTTAAACAAAATACATCTATTTAGACTACTTTGAGATAAAATTTCCAGGTAGGTGTTAAACATGCTGTAAATACTGGATGTGTGGCATGGGATTCACCAATACATATGGAAGGGAGTGTGGTTTGCACAGAAGAAAAATGTTAATTCAGTTTGATTATCATCTCCTATCACATGAGTGATTAATTATAAATACACAGCCATAAGCACATTATTATTTGTATGTGTGTACACTTTTATGTAGGTATACATATAAGTATGCACAGATATGTTTGGCTAAGTTTTAAAAAAATGTTTCTGAACACCTATTCTGGAGATTCTAAGGGGAATGGATTTTTTTCCAAAAGTACTGAATATTCTAAAAAACTATATTCCTTCAAAGAAGTCTCACTTGAAGTACCCATAATAGTTAGAATTTTTTTGATCTCTGCCCAAGGGCATGTAGACTCAAGATTGTTTATCTAGCATTTTCAATAGCACTAAATTAATACACACTGTATTTTTAAAAAATGCAGTCTTTGTGGAATATTATTAAAAATTCAGTAAATTTGCAGGCTGTAGGAGACCACTGATGTTGTTTCTATGTAACATTAATTAAGAGGTTAAAACCTAAATGTTTAAGCAGCTTGGTCAGAGTAAATCTTGCTTTTTAGAATGTAGCTTCAATTGTCTTTTGCTGAAGGGCTGGAGAGGATCTGGGTATGCTGAATTTAACTGAGATGGGTTATTTTATCAGTGATAAATTCTTAGTTGGTAAGTGCTTCTCCTCTGTTTTTATGTCAGTCTAAATTATGCTTCTGTTTGAAGGAAGTTGGAGTGAAACTTTTATTTCTCTAAGTTACCTTTTCCTGCTTGCCACTAAAGTATATTTATACCATTCTGTAAACAGCAGTCTTGGCTTTCATAATTTTAAAATTAATTCATCTGCTTATCGTTCGGCCCGGGTCCATTTTAGATCTAAAATATTCCCTTCACATCAATATTTAAGTAATGGGAAGAAATAATATTAAAAGATCTATTTTTTTCTACATTGCTAATCAAACATTTTCTGAGTGGTTTCAAAAGCAGGATTTTCAGTGCAATGCAGTGGTTTTTTTTCACCAGTTCTAAGGCTTGATTATTGTAAATCCATCATTTGGTTCCTTGTAGTATGATTAATCTCAGAAAAATGAAATTAAATGTGCAAATTTATAGTTTGTGTCCTGACAATCTTTCAAAATATGTCCTATCTATCGAGTGAGTTTACTACAGGCAAATAACATTCTCCATCATTTAAATGTTTGTGTTCTTGGCACTCTGTTTGCTGATCTGTAACCTGGCTGAACATATTTCCTAATTTAAGACAGAAAGTGGAAAGCAATTTATATGCCTTCCTTAGTTCTATGAGGTGTAACAGCTTTTAGTGAAGTTTTTTTCCACCCTCAGCCTTATAGGATTAATTAGTAGCTATTTTGCAGCTCATGGCAAGTGATGAATTTCTGGAGTTCTTGAGCAGTTTGTAAGCAATTCTTAAGTGTTTCAGTGCCTTTGCTTTCTTTAATGGTATTTGTTTTACTAAGTTTATTCTTGATGCAAATTTTTGAAATCCGTGTTACCAGGCTTTAATGAATTAGATGACAGCAGCTATTTAAGATGATTGGAATGACTGAAATGGTGGCTTCAGGAGCCAGGCTGTGATGCAGCTCAAGGAAAATCCAGTCTGTAGACAAAGCTCCCCTTTATTTCTTTCTTTGTTTCTTTCCTCCTGGAAAGCCTTGGTAAAGCAAATAGGATGCAAGATGAGACCAAGTCCTGAAGCAGCAGCAATATATTGTTTTAACCTGTAATACATCATGGCTAGTAGGCCTAACAACTCAAATATAAGCAGAATTTAAAATTGTCTGCACTTATGAGTTTGGTTTTTTTTCCCCTTTTTAATACTGGATATTTCCCCTAAAAGTATTGAGATTTTTTTAAGGTTGTTTTAGCAGTCTGAAGTTTCATAGGTATAGGATTTAAGAACAAAGCTCAAAATAAAAGGTTCTGGAAACTCATTTTATATAGACCATTAAACTATATTTCTGTAGTCTGAACAATATTGTAGAAAAATATAGGAAATTATAGAAAAATATATTGTCTTTTCCCCTGCCTACTATAGGAAATCTTCCAAGAGTCAGAAAATGCTCTAATGAATTTTATGGACAAGATATATTTCTTGGTGTTTTGTCTTTATTAATTTCTATTTTTAAATAATTAATTAATTTCTAAACTGCTAAGTTTTTATGCAAGTTCTGTAGTTGTAGTTTGGTGGTATCAAAAGAAGGAAAGGCCCATCATAAATTAAATCTGAGGTATAATTGATTTTTTTTTTCTTTTACAACAAACAACAGGAGAAAACACAAATACAAAAAGACTTGTGGAGAATTGAAGATGTTACAGCTGGCTTGAGTGCAAATAAAGCAAACTACAAAACCATAGTAGACTCTATAAAGAATCCAGGTAAGGAGAGCATGATGAAAAGATAAAAAATATACCAATGCAGCTGAGTCTTTGGGTCTGTGCAAATAATCTGGAAGTTTGTTCTGCTACAGAAAATCCAGTTAATTCTGTTACTGGATGTGTCATTAATCTCTGTTGATTGAGCACATTAACTTGGTATTTCTTTGCTTGAGGTCACAAAGATTTTTTTTCTTGTTTGTTTTCACATACCAATGATGCTAAAATGTAACAAGCCATAAAAAAAAGGGAACAACAATAACAATAATGGGCTAAATTTTTTCAAGTTGCAGAAGGGGTTTCTGTCACATGCCAGGCTCTTACCAATGTAGTATCTGTTCTGCATCCTGTCCAGGAGCTTTTCTCTGTTTTTTTCTCTGGGTTTATTGTTTTTTTTCCTCCTTGGATGCAGCCCAACTACCCTTGCTGCAGTTGCCTTTCCCTCCCTTCAGGCAAGTGTTTGGTGGGCAGAGCAGCCTCATCTCTGGAAGGGAGGCAGGGAAAGTGTGTGTGGTCTGCACTGCGGTGGCTTTATTACATTTCAAAGACAGGACCTGATGTGTTGGGATAGCAAGAGACTGTTAATGCCTACTGCAAAACTCACCTTGTACATACAGAGATAAAATAGTTCTGAGATGCTCTAGATCTGTAGGCAACTGAAGGCATCTGTGGCATGGGGCCAGATGCAGCTTATGGACTGATTTCATCTAACTCCCAGGCTCTTCCTTCCTTTGCTCCCACTGCCCTCCACCACGAATTTTACGGGATGGTGCTGAACCATGTGGTTTTATTTTTGGCCTGAAAGACTCACTGGATCCTCATCAAGAAATGTTTTTGTCTATTTCTCTATTTCTCCTCTAGAGAGAAAAACAGTGCCTTCGTTTTCTCAGTCTTCAGTGCCTTCCTTACCAGCTTCCCTTGCTGCTGTGGAGAGCAAAGTTTCCGTCCTGCAGAGCCCTCCGCGCAGCCCGGTGAAATCCCCGCTGGAGGTCAGGCTCTATCCACAGCCCTATTTCCAGACCAGGACACAGCACCAAGCACAGCAGCTGAAAAAAATCGAGCCACCTCTTCAGTCACCGGTCAAGCTCAAGCCAAAGGTTGTAAGTACTGCTCTTGTGAGAGTCATTCAGCAGTTTCCATTTCCCTTCTCTCGGGAGCAGTGGGAAGGTTGGGAAGTGCACCCTGTGGAGGCACAACAGTGGGTGTTTGTGTTGGAGCTGAGCAGCAGCACTTGCAGCACAATACACATGGAGCCTATTGTATGTACAGAGGCCATAGGCTGCTTTAGAATGTGTTCATATTCAGAGCCTTCCTTGGAATGCTTTGTTGTTGATTTCTTGGGTCTTGCTTGGGCTTTAAATCCTCAAGCTTCTGCTGTGGACAGAGAGCAGGCTGAAGCAGTCACAAATACTTCATATAGTGCACTGACCTTGATTTTGCACTTTATGCCAGACTGTTTTCACACTGTTTGCCAAATCCCTGTGTTTTCCTGCTCCCAGGAAGATGAAGCACCGCCCAGACCTCCTCTCCCTCAGCTGTACAGTCCTGAGGATCAGCCACCAGCTGTCCCACCCCTCCCGAGAGAAGCCACTGTCATCAGACACACCTCGGTGCGGGGCCTGAAGCGTCAGTCGGACGAGAGAAAGAGAGACAGAGAGCTCGGCCAGTACGTGAATGGAGATTACAGGGTGAGCACTCACACTCCTGTACCCCTGCACTTCAAAGATACGGGAGCCTTGAATAAAATATGTTCCTGTTGTCTGTGAAATATATGTTCCTTTAATAAAGTAAGCGGTATATAGAATGGCAGAGAGATAACAATAATAATAATAATAATAATAATAATGATTCATGCCGTATAATAATAATTGCAGAGACAGATGTAGCAATCCAGAAACAAAGCTTTAGGATTTGTTTTAGGATTGTTAAAACTTGCTGTCTGTGATTTCATTTGAGCTGATGGGTATTTTTCTGTATAGGTGGAACTGCGTTCATACGTGAGTGAACCAGAGCTGGCGATGATAGGGGGTGACCTCAGCCACCCTTCCAGTGCTTTAATAAGCCCTGACAGTGGATACCAGACATTACCTACCCGTGGTAAGCCAGGAATTTATGGAATTGATCCCTAACAGTACTGTCTGTATAGGAGCTTTTCTCTTGTAGGGTTTCCTGGAGATGATCTTTATCACCAGATCATGGTTTTAAAATTAACTATTCAGTGAAAGTTTAGAAATTATGCATTTTAATGGTGCTGTTACAGACAATCAGCCTTTGGCAAAACAACTTAATATAGAAGGCTTAAAAAAACCCCATAGCAAAACATGGAATTGGCTTTTAGAATGTCTCTTATATTCAAAGTTATTTTTCCTCATAATTTCTGTGCTATCTTTTGCAAAGTCCAAGTATTTTTAAAACACCTATATTGCCATTAAAATGTAACTGATAAATTATATTAATATAGTGCTCCAAACATTATGTCTGACTTGACACTCCATCCCCACTGTGCTGTTATTCTGTAACTCTTTTGGAGATGGGGATAGAGATTATATTTGGGCCAAAAGCAAATGATTTCTTAGCCATTTGCTTCTTATTGCTTCATTTCTGATTGTGAATGTTCAGGTTTTATTTTCTTAATAGATGTGATTATTTGTACAATCTATCTAGTCTTGTACAGCTGAGTTCAACCTATCCTTCATTTTAGATGAGCTTCTAAATAATTATAGATTTTCTGACTTTAGATCAGTAGTGACCTGAAGTGCATTGTGTTTGGCTGAAATGAAATTTCATGCCTCTTACGATCATCTGAATTGCAAAATGTGTGCTCAACTAGTGACCAGAATGCCACAGCAACAGTATAATTAAATTTAAAAAACTAGACTAATATTTGTCTTATTTAGTCTGCCATTTGATTTTAAGGCATTCTCTTTTTCCTTGTAAAGGTTTGTCTGGATCAACTTCCAGATTGCACCAGTCATCTACCATTTCATCGTTTGCAACACTTCGAAGGGATAGGTCCAAGGTAAGTTTTAAATAAACTTCTGAAGGCAAATGTCTCAACTGCTTGAAATAGTTAAGCCCAGAGTATATTTTGTGTAGCAGGAAGTGGGATTGCAGTAATCTGGGAGAGGAGAAAGAGCTATGATCTACCGAAGTCTGCAATTCTTCACTTTCTTAAATGAATTGGAAAACAGACAACTTCGTGCATTTCAAATAGATTTATAAAACAAGGTTTAGAACCAAAAATCAGCGCTGCTAATAGAAAATACAGAGTTGAGAGAGTATTTGCAAAGAAATGTGAAGTTAATAGAATAAAATTTAGTAATGAGATAGGAGAAGGAGTTCATTTTTTTTTGTATACTTCTTATAAAGTATTAATTACAACATGTGTTTTGTGTGCCTTGTGACTTCTCCAGGAGAGACCAAAGAGTGCCTTGGAACGTTTATACTCTGGAGACCACCAAAGAGGCAAGATGAGTGCAGAGGAGCAGCTAGAAAGAATGAAGAGACATCAGAAGGCATTAGTGCGGGAACGCAAGAGGACTCTTAGCCAAGGAGAAAGGCAGCCTGTTTCATCTCGCTCTTTCATCAGGCCCGTGTCTGCAGACGTAGGCTCAGTATGTTAGATATGCCTTAAAAGGACTAAACTAAAAATATCTTTGGATTTTTTCCCCCCCTCCCCCCAGCAAGCACTTTCACTTGAGCGTGTGTGATGCTTCTAGTCCAATTAAATTAGTGTTCTGTGGTATCAAATGAGTTCAGAGTGTGAGGAACAGATGATGTTTTTTACTTGTAGTTAAGGTAAATGTAGCAGGTTCAGCAGGTAAGTTGGTCAGAGGTTAGTGATGAGTGGAGATGCCAGTATATTGGAGTGATTTCAGAGCCATGATTTTTTTTTCTTTCTCTTGGAATTGTATTTAGCAAGTGACAGAAGCTTGTACAGTTTTAAAACTGCTTCATAATGGAATGGGCCTTTTAGAATGTTGTTTCTCACCATGGGTGTTTTTCCTTTTAATTAATAAATTAGCCTGCAAGATAGTCGGTGGTAATATCAGACCAAGGTGATGTTTGCTTGTTCTTTTTAAAAAAGATGGTAAATGGATAATCAGTTTTAAAATCTAATCATGCTGATTAGGAATTTATGTGACAGCTAATGTATTCTAATTGATAGAAATTATTCTTTAAATCTCAAAATGTAGAATATTCTAATAAGGCTCCAATTTAGGCTGCTAAAGAAAAGTATTTTTGTTGCTTTCTGAGAGTAAATGCTGTGCAGAGGAGAAGTTTATGATGAAACATTTTGGATACTAACCAAAGCAATTCTGATTGATGAAGTTACCCAGTTGCTCACTTGGTGCTAAACCAGGATTGTACTGTAATTGCACTTATGCTGTGGTCTTTTAATTTATTTTTTTATTTGGTCCACTAGAGCTTTAGAATGATCACATTGTTTTACCTAATTCATTGCACAAGATCTCTTGCTTTTAAATTTGTCACTCATCATACCTAATGCCTCTTTTTTTTTTTTTTTTTTTTTTTTTTTTTTTTTTTTTTTTTTTTTTTTTTTTTTTTTTTTTTTTTTTTTTTTTTTNTTTTTGTTTGCTTGTTTTTAATTTGCAGAATTTTGTAGCTACTTTAAAAATTCTAACTGGACTACTCAATTTTTACCAGGCTTAATTGCATTTAGTACATGTGTGTCAATTGCTGGCATTGAAAAAAACTTATAATCGGCTTTTCATTCCCACTGTTCTGAAGCACTAATTTGCAGCCAGTTATTTGTATTTACTTTCCCAGTAAATACAACTGCACTGCTTGGAGACATTCATCTGTTTTGTCTTTTGTTTTGCAATCCCAAATTTTTTTAAAGAGAGTGCATAATGTTTGGGAATTGTAGTACTATAGTACCACTGTTACTTTCATACTTTAATTGGAAGAAATAAATCTGAGCTTCTTATGTTTACTGACTCAGATAACATACACAAGTTGAATTGAAGCACTTTCATAACACTCGTTATTAACATTTGTGGCAAACACTTTATTTATAAATTTGGGTGCCATCTTGGTCTTTTTCTTGCTGTAAAGAATTAAAACAGAGTTTTTCAGCCCTAGTAGTGTTTTGTAGAGGTCATCTCTTGTACCTATGGGGCTTTGATATGCAAAAGCATGTTTGATAGCACAATTACAGCATTACAATTATTTAGCAGCCATAATGGCAAACAGTTAAATGTATAATTGAAGTGCTGCTTAGTGTGTAACATTTGCTTTAAGCATACATTGTATGTGTAGTTCTAATTTTTAATTGGTCAGCTCTCAAGTATAGGATGACATTTTAAGTATTGATCACAGTACATGAATTTATTTGTTAAATACAATGCCTTTTTAATGTAAAAGTTGCAACATCAAAGCCAATAAAAGTACTGCTTCGTAAGAATGGTTTGATGTTTTTCTTACCCATTTTACATAACAACAAAAATGAAAATGATACTGTGTATTTAAAATATACTATCTCAATCAGGCCTGGTTCGAATATGAGTAGAAGGATGAGTTTGGAGTATGAGAAAATCTTCTTTTCTCTTTTGAATTCTGTAATGTATTAATTTTTGAGATATAATTGCCTCTTACCTACTTAACTTTTTAATATACATGGAAGATACTTATCTTCTGAGTGAATACCGAGAGCTTGTGCATGAATAGGTTTCAATTATATTTATTAATGCAAGTGACATAATAAAGTCTAAGGACTTCATGTGGAGTTCAAACTTCATCCAAAACAAGCCAAAGATTTCTACCAGAAATACTGGAGGTATTTTTCAGAAACATAAAAGTGGCACATCCTGCTGCTGCTTTTGATTCCATTGGCACATTGATTCCCTCAAAACCTTGAGGAGATAATTTTGTTGTTGTTGTTTTTGTCCCTTCTTTTTTCTACTGCTTTTAATCTCATGTATGGTAAAGTTGTTCAGATCTACTGGATGGAATGATGCTACAACTGAACTTAATTTTTTGAACAAAAAGGTATTGGTAGTGTCCTTAAGTGTGGGTTTATATGTAACTGTATTGTGTGTAGTTGTGTAGGGACTACTGTGCAGCAATTTTGGGTATTCTATATTATGCAGCTTAGTTTAAATATGCTTAATTTAAATATTAATAAATATTTAATAGTTCTGATTAATATTGCTAAATATTTACATTTTAAAGTCTGTGGAAGACCTGTGCAGGTAGCTAGACTCTGCTTTTAGTAAAGTCTGAATAGCTTAAAAGTAATTTTTTTAAAATTCAAGTTAATGCTAATACACAATACATTTTCAACTTTAAACAGTAGATGTTATTCTAAAAAGATACATAAAATTTTCAAGTTGTGATTCTCAACTAGCAGTGTAAATAGCATTTCTGTGTAGTCATCCAGAGCCACACAGCCCTGCCTCTTTACAATGACAAGGACTACTCTGCCAGCCTGTTGGCTCACTGGTAGTGACACCTGTGATTCCAAGGGTGTTGTTCCTTGTGTATCTGGTTCCGTGTTAATCAGCAAATGTAAAATTGGGATTAATACATTTCTTAGACTCTAATACTGCTGAACATGTAAAATTAAAGAATATTCTGAATTCCTCACAGCACAGCTAGAGATCAAAACTCCCACTCTTATGTACCAATAAATGCAGTTTTATTTTCTTTCTGTTGTCGCTTCAGGGGTTTGCCCCACTGATTCTTTCAGCAGTGTAGCTTTTGCTGCAGGAGTAATGTACATTGCTGTGTGCTGAGTTTGGCAGTATGGTTGAATGCTGTTCATTGTTTTGTATCTATTACCAGTGGAAACGAGAGCAAGAATTTGATTTGCAGTTACTCGAGAGGGCAATTCGTGGAGAAGACAAGGATGAAAATGAATGGTTAAAAGTTCAGCCAGTAGCAGTGACAGAGACAGACCTGGAGCCTCAAGACTATGATTTAGATATCAGCAGAGAGGTAACACAATCTTTTTCCTCCTGTTCTCTGTCCCAAAACACTAACCTAAGTTTTAGGCAGTGAATTCTCTTCTTTTCTTTTGAGAGTTAACTGGAACTAAAAGGAGTCTTGGGCACTGAAAATTTATTACCTTGCACCTTTGTAAGGTTTGTGTTCATATTGTGTTTTAGCAGAAAGAAGAAATTGAAAAGTTGTCTCTGCTCTTTTAAATATATATCTCAGGCTTTATAAAGAGCAGAGTGCTTAAGTTAGAGATAGTTCTGTAAATTGGTAAAAAAAAGATGAGAAAACAACATGAGTATTTAAAAATGAAAAGCAGGAATGAAGGACAATTTTGTTCCCTAGAGCTACCTTACTGCTTTTCATGTTGACTGGTGAATGATGATAGAGAAGCTTTATTTGGGCTTGAACATAAAACATATTTCTGTCAGCTTTTGGGATGACTTGGTGTCCTGGGCCCACCACTGAGGTCCTTGCTCCGCTCCAGTAATAGAGGAAATGAAATGTCAGTTTGAAATGCGATTGAGCCATCTGGTGGGAAGGAGAGAACACAGCAAGTGGAAAGGCTTCAGGGGTACCTTGTGCTGTGTGAAATGCCATGGGAGATGGCAAACCAGTAAAACTATTCATGGTAATTAGACTAGTAAGCACCTGTACTCTTCTGAAAGCTGTTGGCAGAGTATCATTTTGCAGAGATATTTGTAAATGTATTTTACTCCATGAGCTGCTATCTGTTGAACTCTATGAATGAATTTATCTTTCAGTTAATCTTTGTATAATTTTTACAGAAAATACAGTGCTTCTGTAAACTTGACAAACAGAAAATAACTTCTGTTCTTCTGCCTTTCTTATTGCACTCTGCTATTAATTTTTCTTTTCCAGAAGGCCTACGGGGCTATGGGAATCATTTTGTACTTCCTTTAAGCCTTGAATAGGAAACATGTTTGCTCATAGGCATTTCTGTCCTGCTTCAGAGTAACTGAAGTAGGTCTGAAGCTTCTTTCTCAGTTTGTCCAGGTTAGAATCATAGATTTGTGTTGGAAGGGACCTTAAAAATGATCTAATTCCAGCCTCCTGCCATGGGCAGGGACACCTTCCACTGAACCAGAGATCCATCCCACCTGGCCTTGTTGTCCTTTTCCATTTCATGTGGCTATTCCCTTCATCTGGCAGGCACTTCAGTGTGCACTTCCCTCTGTGCCTCAGAAGGAAGCATACTCAGCTCTATCTTGGAGGAAATACATCTACTGTTGCAATGATTAATGGGTTTGTTTTTCTGAAAGTGACGGGATGAGATAATGTGGGTTAGATACAGTATGGAGATAGAGATACACATTAAAAAACAAAGTGTATATATGTCCATATCTAGACCTCCAGAGAGGAGTTGGATTCAAAAGTGGGAAAGTGTAGTGGAAAAATGAGGATTTTTCAGAAAGCATTGGCTTTGGGTTTCCTGAGAAGGAAGTCTAAAAACTTGAGGCTGTGATTTTAATATGTTTCAGTGTGCCAGCGTGTGCTCCTGGCATGAGATTTCCTGTGAATTACTCAGCCTCAGCACTGGGGGTTAGGTCAGGACACTTTATATAATCCATTGAATTAGCATGAACCAAGGTCAGTGGTGAAAAAATTTAGGATTATTTTCATTGAAAACTTTAAACTTTGAAAATTCATGGCCGCATGAGTGTATTAACAAAATTGCAATAGGAAGAAGAAAAGAATTAGTTCTCCTTTACTTGATTTCCATTTATTCACACATCCGCTATTTTTGTTTTCAAAAGCAGTCTGTTCTGTATGATAAGAATTGATTTTCAAAGTTTCTAAACTGTATTTTCATTGGGAGAAGTGAAAAGTTCCCACAAAGTAATTTATCCTAGTAAAAAATTGTTTCTAGCTTTCGTGCAGTCATTAAAATTTTCAGTCTACAGAATTAATTTATGCAATGTGTTTTTGCAATCACACAGTGTAGTATGTTTCTGTTTGCCTTTTTTCCCCTCTGCTGCTCACAGAAGATTATCCAGTCTCAAAAGAATGACACCCTGGGTTAAAACTTTCAGTGATATTTCCTTTCAGATGTAGGAAGTTCTGGCTGGCATGGCACAAGTATCATGACACTGGTATCTCAGGTTGTCCAATCAGTCTCTGGGTGGTTGCTTCTTTCTACTGTAAGAGCTTTAGGCAGTGTCCTATTTTGGGCTCTAAGCCTGAGCTGAAGAAAGGTTTTCTGTTGATTCTGATTTCTTCTGTAATACCTTTAAATATTTGCTCAGTCTATCTTCTGAAGTAAAAAGAATCAGAGGGAACACTGTTGAAAGGGCATCAGCTAGATATCAGGAAGGTGTTTAGTGTCAGGTACATGTATTGACTGTGAAAATCCATGCTTTATTTTTTTTTCACTGTGTTCTCCCATTGAGGAGGATTTATCTCAATTTCTTTTAAGTCTTTGTTATTGAAAACTCGATGCTTGCTTTCTTTCTACAGTTGTCAAAACCTGAGAAGGTTGTAATTCCAGAACGTTATGTTGAACTGGAGCCAGAGGAGCCTCTTTCTACAGAAGAACTGGCAGCAAGGCAGCGTAAAGCAGAAAAGATAAAGAATATTCTTACTAAATCAAGGTTAGGTTTTAGGGCTTTTTCCAAGTCTTACACAGGGCCTCATGGTGAACATTGAGAACTAACATCATACAACAGCCTTTATTTCTGTTACTTGAATGCAACTTTTATATTTGTGAAAATGCACTTGGAATTTATGTGTCATACTTAGAGCTGATTTTTAAAACAAGGCAGAAGACATACTGGTGAATTTTGTGTATGTCCATTTTCTTGTTTAGGGAATCTTCAAACAGTAGTAAGTCCTTATCAAACAGCTTGTAGATGAAAGTGAGGAGGAAGGAAAAGCACAAAGCTGGCAAAAAAGCAGAAGAAAAGTCAGCATGAGAGCAAGTTTGTTGTGGCCAGAGAGCTGCAGTTGTGAAACAACACTTTTGGCTATTTACAGCTAACATAGTCAGCTGAAACATTCAATTTCCAGAATTGGATATGTCAGGTACCTGCTCTCTTTTTGGAAGGGATACAGCCTGAGGACCACCAGGTTTTTCCTTTTCCTCTGAGCACGAGCAAGGAATTTTACTAACAACTTCAAATAAATAGCACTTTTCTAGTGCTTTCTTTTCAGCACATTAAACATATTTCTGAAAAAGGACTTTCAGATGTTCTTAAGTTATGCAGAAATTGTGACTAAACGTGTAGTGGCTGTGTCATTTTTCCTTGTGTGCCGTAAGCATTTGCATACAACATCAACCCTGTTCTAAAGAACTGCAATAAAATACAGAGCTTGATAGATGAGATCTGAAAACTGCTGTCTGAATCTAAGCTCGTTCTTATCTGCATGGTGGATTCTTTATGTTTGCAAATGTTAATGTTGTTTTTCACTTTCCCCCCAGTATGCACAATCTGCAGCCTACTGTTGCCCAGGACAAACACAACTCGATTGATTTAGATTCACAGCTGCAGGAGCAGGAGCGCATCATTACCATTTCATATGCTCTGGCTTCTGAAGCCTCTCAGAGGAGCAAGGAGGTAGCAGGTAATGCTTAGTTATTTACAAAATAACAGCTATTCCTTACCAGCTTCTCAAGTTGTGTGGGGTTGTTGCTGAACTCTTGGCATAAGATAAAGTTTTAGTCATTCATATACAAAATAGTGAAAATTGTGTGTAGGTAACAAATGGAGAGGGGCTAATGATTTATGTTGACCATTTGAACTCCAGTAGACAGGATAAAGGGGCAAAACACTACAATAAATAAGTTCAGAACTTGGAAACTTGCTCTAATAGTGCTAAAAATAAGCACTTTAATTCTCTAGAGTTACATTAAATCAAATAATTCTATGTTCATTTTTTGAAAGTAAATTGATCTGTGACTTAAAAAAAAAAAGGGAAGGGGATTTAAAATAGGTTTTTAAGAGAAAAATTCCCATGTCCAGTGATGGAAATGAGGCTAGAATCATTTGCAGCTTGAGCTTTGTGGCAACAGGCTGAAAAAGACCTTATAAAATGGAGATGGGCATGACTGGTGACCAGGATGAGAGGTCAGAGCAAGACAGCTCTGCAGGAATTCTGCTTGATGCCTGGAAATTAATGGATCCTTTGCAATATATTGCTAAAAAGTGATAATTTCACTCTTGATTGCTTTATAGTTGAAATAAGTAAGAAATGTCAAGAGATTTGTATCACACAGTAATCCGTGCAGCAGCGATTTCCCCAAGTGTCTGACTGGCCATTTATAACTGGCACCATTCACTGTTCCACTGGAGAATGGAAATAATGGAAACTTTGGCTATGATGGAGAAAAAATATGCACATTTCTCATCCAAAGCTGTCAGTTTAAACTTATGGCTCTTGCCACAGCAGCCCTGGAGACCTTCCCGTTAAAGACAGATTATTGCAGTATGGGGATGCGTGATGTGCATCTGCAGCGGGAGCGCTGATTGAATGTGGCTGCACGTGCAGGGGGGCAGTGCCAGCTGAACCCGAGGGGAATGGCACTGGAGGGGATGGAATACATCTCCAAGATAGGAATCTTGAGGCTTCAGAGAGTTTCTGTGGGTAATTTAGCTGACTGGCAGGGAGAAAACGATTCGCTGAGGAGGCCAGACGTTATAAAGCTAAACCAAACAAACAGAAAAACAGAATTGTAAAATCATGAGAGCCATTCGGGAGTAACCTTGTGGCCCTTCAGGCTATTGGTGTATCAACAGGGCTTTTCCACAGGCACTTTGGTCCCAGTTCTAGTGACCAGAACTTTGTAACAGGTTCCTTTGGTTATGGAATGGGAATTTTTGTCATGAGGTATGGGCCAGGGGAGCATTTTGCCACTTGAGTTCCAGCTTCTGCTGGGAAAAGGTCACACAGTTGGGCTAAGATCAGCCCAAATGAACACGGCCAGTACCTGAAATTATTCTTATGTGTCACTACAAGAACAGCAGAGTGCCTGCCCTACTCAGAGGTCTTCTTGGGGCCAGTTAATTTACTTCTGGGTGTGCTGTAACTTGTAGCAACTCTACAGTACTGAAATAGGTTTGATTTTTTTTTTGTTGTTGTTGTTGTGTAGTGCATTTAATATACATTTCATTGCTATAGGTTTTTCTATTTATATATTTTTTTATATTATCTAAAAAGTGTGATTCATCAAATTTTTTTAGATATATGTAACCAAAAAAAAATCTTCTTTAGTTTTCCTCAGAGAAAATGTGTATTGGCACTGAAATGTTTAAATGCTGCTTGAGAAAATTTGCAGTCAGTTGTGAGATAAGTTTTAGTTTAATTTTCTTTGTGAAGCATAGCAGCTGCCAGAAACTTAAAGAAACCCTAGCACAGTAGCCAAAGATTAAGGTTTTTAAGGAATGCCATACTTTCATGTTTGTGCACAGCTTTTGTTGTCACATTTGTACCTCAAAAACTCACTTCTTGAAACATGTCTTGCTTTGATTTCAATTATTTCATACTCCTTTAAAAAAAACACTTTCATGGTATTCTTAAAAAAAATACCAGAGTGGTTTGGTTTTAATAGCAAATCTACAAACCAGAAAAGAATTCAGGTTTTTTAGTTATGACCTATTTTCTGATGAACTAAGGTGATTAAAAAGAAAAACATTTGACACTTTGCACAACTGATTTTATGATCTCATTTAGTCTCATATTTCAGACTCCTTCACATTTTTATTTTTGTAGTTTGATTTTTGAAGTATGGGTTATCATTTGCTCCTTGGTGATGAAGCTGACCGCATCTGAAAATCCCAAACTAATTATGTAGATTGTTTTACAAAGACTTGTTTATGAAAAAGACTGTGAAGCTTAACTTCATCCATTTTTCAAGAGTGAGCAGTTATGTTAGGATTTTATGCTAATATAAATATTTTAAGTTGTACATTTATCTAATCTTAGCGTTTAGTTGCCTCTGTTCCTAATAAGAAATCAACCTTTTGAGTGGAAATCATGCCAAGAATCTGGAAGGTTAAAGTCAAATACAAGAGTGTTAAGAAGTCTTTTCCTATGTTGTGTGCTTTGGCCCTCTGAAACATAAAAACAGAATTTTAGATAGCTTTTCAGTTTCTTCAGTTTTATGATTATTGTCCTCCAATACTATACCATTACTTTGGTTTATAAACAAGGATAATCTTAATAGTTGTATTCTTTATCCTGTATTTTCAAGCTGAGATGTGAAAATGTATTTATGTATCATGCACTGTACTAAGCAGAATATTATACATCTGTGTAATTTTGTAAACATTATTTTTCTATATATTATTTTGGTTTCTGCTCACTGGCATATAAAAAAGGAAATGTTGAAAACCTGTACAGCCGCAGTGAAGTCTGGAAATCAAGTTAGCAAATGTAGATGCTGGTCCAGAGCTTCAAAAGCTTTAAAAGCAGGGCTGATGAGAGTATGTCAGTGTTGTGTGCCTTCATAACGTTCCAGTGAAATTTCATCTTAAGATTGGTTGTCCATATTCTCATTCCAATAGGAATCTTTATTTGTTTAATTTATCCAAGGAGTAGAAAAAAGCAGTAGGTGGAAATGTTGTTTACCTTGTGTTCCATGTGACTAAAACAGTGTAGCACCTCATTAATTGCTAATCAGGTGGTAGAGAATTAAGGTGACACCATTTATAATGTGAACGATTGCGCAGCCTAATTCCTGTGTGTGATCCCTTCTAGCTCAGCAGTTGACCTATCCACCCAAAGCACCCTCACCTTCTGTACCACAGCCACCTCACTCCCCCTTAAGCAATGGATTTCACTACACATTTGTTTAAACACCTTCCAAGTAAGAACTAACTGCTCTCGGCATGTCTGGTTTGCCATCGTGCCTGTGCTGTGGCTTGCTGAATTTTAACTTCTGTACTAAACCGAGATTCCATCCGGATGGAAGCATGCAGCTCCTTTTTCAGGAGCCTTTTGTCCTGGTAACTCTTGCTTCTAGCGAGCTAACACGTGGGCTGGTGAAGTGCTCAGCTAAGTGCTGTCGCTCTGCAGGTGAGGTGCTTCCTCAGTGGTGAAGGGAGACATCTGTGCTCTGGGGAACAGGGGGCCAGGTTTTCAGCAGCCTTCTGTACTCTGCTGGCTGCTCAGGGTGTACAAAGAGAGAATCCAAAGTGCACCTTTGTACAAGCAGGGGCTTCCTTTGTGGGCTGGTATCCTACACATGAGCTGCCATCGGAGTCTTAGCTGAGGTGAGCTGAAAATTTGGCCCCCTGTAACTAATTCTGCAATGTTGTGTTTGACTTTGATCGTGCCTTTCTTTGGATCGTTCTTTCTCTCTGGTTAGGTTATTTTGCCACGTCAGGTATTAAAATTGTGCTAATTTTGTTGTTGTTACGAAGAAACATCTCTACTTGTATCTGTTCTCAGTAGGATTTGCAGAGATTTCCCTGTTTGAAATTGGAAGTAGTAAAAGGTGTAAATATTGTATGCAAGTGCTGAGTGTGCCCCTAGTTAAGACACTTGCAATGCATCCATATTTTCCTTTTATATTATTCTTACCTTTCTGATTTTTCTTGGCTTAATTTTATTGCCTGAAATTGAACAAGAAGATAAAGCAAAGATGAAATAAATAAAAAGTGTTGCTTGAGTAACTCAAATAATTGTGCAGTGCCAGAGACTCAAGCAGGGGCCTGGGGCTGACCTTCAGAGGTCCCTTCCTACCCCAGCCATTCTGTGGCTGCAAACTGATTTAAAAACATGTCTTCTACATATCTGTACAAATATATACACATAGATATACAGTTACAGATATATATTTATATAAAGCTACATTTTCTTCAGAAAAAGAAAGTAGTTGTGATGTGCTGGGGACACAGGAGCTTGAGCATCAGTGGCATTATGAGATAATTGTTGGCTTAATGTGTCTGTATGAATTGTTCCTTCTGTCAAACTGCAAAAGGCTTAAAAAAAAAAAGTTCCCAGCAATTTCTTACTGCTTGGCATTGGTTGGCTCTCTCCAATATTTAACCATGTTTTATTTTCCTTCACACCAGCCAAAGCAGTAAGTGAGCACTGACGTGAGACTGGAGGCAAATCCCACTTTGTGACACCACGTGGAAGACCGAGGAGATTCTTTTCCAGGTTTCTGTGGAGGTACTCGTTGGATGGTGGCACCTTCTTCTGGAAAGACATTCAGAGAATGATAGGGGGATTTTCTATGAAAATGAAGAGAACTGCAGATCATTTTTTATTCAGTTTAGTTCACACTTTTTATACAAATAAACGGCACTTTTAATAAACTCTGTAAAATACTGACAATGTATTTTTAGAACAATGTATTTTAGGGTTTTTTTTTAATCAAGGGCTGAATTCATTTTAAAATATACTTCTTGCATAGATACTAAAAGATGCTGTTACTTCCCTTTCAGGCTCAGATGCACATCGTAAAGTTTTGTGAAAAAAAAAAAAAAAAAAACAAATTTGAGCAAGCCTAGAAGCACATTCATCGGGTATGGATAGAGCTAACACACGTGACAGGTTTGGTGAAAGGATGTTTCAGATTGAATATTTTTGTAGAGTTAATCACCCACCTGTTTGCCCATTAAATAATCCATTGCAAGAACTGTTAGCTTGAATTTCTAAATATTAGTAACCACTGTATAGCTGAAATTTCCCAAGAAAGCCATAACAAAAGCCAGTTCTAACTTTCTCTCTTTTTTTTCCTTTGATCCCAGATTATTAACTTGCTGGTATCAATCCACAGTTTGTTAGGTTGCCCTTGAAAGTAATGCTGTCCCCTCTGTAACAAAATTTTTTTTTGAAGTTGAGATGTGAAAGATGATTATTTTTAATTAAAATATGTGAAGTAAGCAATAAACACAATGTGTCATTTGGCTAATAAATACATATTTTTCTTCAGATTTTTTTCAGTAGACTTTACAATATGATGTACTGACTAGTATTTATCCTAGAAACAGCAAAACTAAATGGAGTGTGGCACCTGCTAATTTCCTGTGTATGTTCACCTGGTGCTTATTTTTGCCAGACTTTGAAATTCTATGCTGTACTACTGCATAGGGCAAAGGGTGAGCTGGTTAAAATAAGGAGAAAATAAGATAAAATGTATTGCTGCAACTATACTTTAAAAGTCCCAGTGTATGCATTGAATGCAAAACATGCAAAAACTTCCCAATGTTATGTAATTAGTAGCTGAGTTCAGCTCTGGATGAGAAATATTTCTGCAGTATTTTGTGAAACCACTAACTTGTTTATTCCCTGTATTCAAGTAGTAGCTAAAAACCCCTTGGAATTGACCTTTGTGTTTCAGACTGTAAGACAAATCATCGTATATTAACACTATACTCAGAAATACTCTTAAAAGTATATATTTAGCTAATGCAATCTATTTTACCTCAATACTGCCAGTATCAAGTTCAAAACCTTTTGCCAAAATAATGATTTATTTTTGCCTTTATAAAAAAGTTTTGAAAGCGCATAAATGAATATTTTGCAAGAAAACATTAATTTAAATAAAATGTAACCGTCTGGAAAATGGTATTATGTACAGATTAAAATATTAACATAAATGCTTCCTATTGCCTCTGTCTTGTCTGCTCTCTTATCAGTGTCCAGCAAGTTGGAAATCCAGAGTAATTTGTGCTTTTATCACATTTTGCTCTTCTTTGATTCAAATCCCATTGAAGTTCCCCAGTTTTGCACTTATCAGGATTTGAATCAGAATCTCTCTACATCAATTCTGCATTTTGATGATGATTATTATTAGTTGATTTTTTGTTTTGTTTTGTTTTTAGAAGTGTTTTCTAAGCAATTGATGAAACCTGTCTGTATTTTTGAATAGCAAGATGGGGTGTTGGCTGAGGGGAAGTTGTGGGCACTGGCAAAGCTGCAGCTCACTGGCAGCATTTGACTTTCAGCAAGTCCCTCAAAAGACACCCAAGTTGCTGGAGAGCACTGGAGATGTTGACTTCTTCTAAAAAAACCAAAAAAAAAACCAACGAGAAGTTTCTGTGGCTTAGTGTTGACTGCACAAACTCGAGGGTGAATGTTTGGGGCTGTGAGTCCTTGGCTTTGGGATGTGAGTGGCAGAAATCGGGGGCTGAGCTGCTTAGGATGTGCTCATCCTGTTTTTGTGGGGCACAACAAGGCAATGAAGGGGAAGGAGCACAGGCAGTGCTGCTCTGGAGGATGGGACAGATGTTCATTCTCTTTATTTTGATCACACACACAAAATCTGCTCATTCAAGTTTGTGTGGAAGAGAAGGGTTTTGCCCTAAATAGTTACATCATTGACATTTTCAACAAAATCAGTCTTGATGGAAAGATTTTGGTCATGTCTGTAGTTAAACCCATATTTGGGAAAAAATTATAAGGTGATTTTTCTTCCAAAACATTTTTGAATTTGTGGAATGCTGTTCTTAGTGACCATTTTTTGTAAGGATGGGTGTAGTTTTTAAATAGTAATGACTAGTTTTCCTATGCATAGAGTGTTTGGTTTAGGTCAATTTCCATTTTCAGTTCTATTCCTTTTAATCTACATGCTCTTTTCAGGGTGTTACAAGCTACTTTCTAATATTAATTAGAAAAAAATTATGATAAGTTGGAGATCAATATAATTTTGGTCAGAAAGGGGACTTTTTTTTCCCCCCTCTGCCTATTAGACAGTGAAGTGTTTGGGAGTGATTGAACTCACTCATTAGAAAACAGTGTCAGTTCTTTTGATTGTGCTGGTTTTTAATTAGTGTTTTGTAATGTTATACCAAGTAAAAAATTTGCAGGCTGAATTCTCTTCCCATATACAGCTGTTTCCAATTTATTCAGCAGAAGTTACTAAACTTTTACTGCCCAGCTGTATTTATAAAAGTACAGCCTGGTAGTTGTAAGTGGCGCAGCTCTTTCACCTTTCTGGACTTGCACAACAGCCCTCACCCTTGGTTTTTACTGTTATTTTTAAGTTTGTGTGATTGCTGGGCTGCAAGGAATCCTGCTGAGCTATAGCACTATTTGTGTTTGTACATCTATATTATGCTGGTTGTTTTAAAGGACTGGGCAGGTAAGCAGTACTTAGAGACATCCAGACTCTTTTGGAATATTTGGGGAGGAAAAAAAAACACACCACCAACAAAAAGCCTCCCACAAACAAAACTCACCAGAAGAAGATACAAAGGTTTTTCATGAAACTACTGAGAGATTCTCTTCTGGAAAGTACCTTAAGTGTGGAAAGAAAAGCTACTAAAGGATGCTGCTAAACTTGTGTGCTGCTATTTCAAAAAGCTCTTAAGGCCCATCAGGGTGGTTTTGGGTATCCCACAGGCTTTGGAGGGAGCGTTGGTGTTTTGAGAAGGCAGAATACTCCCAACCCATTCTGGTACTTCACACCATTATTTTTTCCCCTGCACCATTTACTCCTCCAACTTCCAGATCTTCAAATATATGTGTATGTTTTTTATGTCAGCATCTGTTCCCCTTTAGGAAACCACCTATTTCCCAGGTGTCTTAGCAATTAACTTGTGGATGTTCTATGAAGGAAACACCAGATTTACCTGTTGTCAAAACTTAGAAGATGCAGAAGGCAGGATATGATGTTACCCCTCTGATTTATGTCTGTCTGTGGGTATTTTAAAGTGGTTTGCTTGTGCTGTGTGTGTGTTTGTGTGCCCATGTACTGTGTGGTTATAAAAAGAACAAAGCCATGCACAAGATAAACATGAAAAAATTGCTATATTTTCCACACCTAGTTAAGATTCCCATTGGTTATTTGGCTGTATTCAAAAGGCTAAGATTTTTATTGCTCTACTAGCAAAAGCAACCTTTCTTCATAGTGGAGCAGTACAAAGAAAGAGCACAAAAAATCCCCACATCACAGTGCCTGAAATTCTGTTTGAACAACTGTATTGATTGGGTCTGACCCCTTTACATTTTTTTTTCCCCATTATTTGAAAAGGTGCATCTAACTGCAGCTGAATTGAACCAACCGCAATGAACTTTCCATGAAAACTTCTTGAGATATTTCTTTAGTTCAAAGCTCTGGAATTTTAAAGAGCATTTTTAATACAAGTCTGTTGAGGTATCCTGTGCAACAACCACACTTGGAATGCTAAACTACAGGTAAATGTAGGAGGGAGGTAAGATTATAAAAGCTGCTGTGAAATTGCTGGGAGATGGTGGAAGAACTTCAAGCGCTAATTATAAAGTAAATAAAACCAGAAAGTATTGAATATGTGTAAAAAGTAGGTGCATATAGCAAGTATATGCACATTTGAGCACCGTTGACTTGTTATTTACAAGTCAGTGCTCCTGGTTGCCTTACATAGACTGGAAAACAGCCTCCAGAGTAAACAGAATTAGCATTTTTGGACTGGCTGTTGGTGAAATTGTGTTACCAGATGTAAACTTGAAGGACAATGATGTTTTCTTGAATCCTCTTACCAGGAGCTGTAGCATAAGGAAGCACTAAAAGAAGGAAGAGATTAAGAAATCAAAGGTGAGTAGTGAGATTGTAGAAAATCATGGCAGAGATGTATCTGCAAGCAAAGTGTAAGTAAGAGGCTGAAGGTGAGGGTGGAGAGCAGCCTGGTGGTGGGAAACAAGAGGTAGTAAAAAGATGCAAAGAGTTCAGATGCATCAACTTGGAAAGCAGCAAAATGCTTCAATGAAAGGACTTGGCCTAAATTGTAGTGGAGAAGGTAAGAAGGAATTAGCTGGGAAATGAGAAAGTTTCATGTCCCAGTACAAAAAAAAATACCCTGTGAAAGAGTTAAACAAGGGATTGGGACGTTGGTGGTAGTAGTGGATGAAGGAGAATTAATGGTGACTTCAGGGTAGTGTTTTTGGTAGCAGGACAGTTGTCTTTCCTATTGCCAGTTGCTGTGCTTTGTTCCTAGACAGTATCTGAAGTTCTTTTCAGTCTTGCCTTTTAATTTTTCTCCAGTGGATCCTTGTATGGCCACCATAAATGGTACTGGGTTTGGATAGATAGCACAAACTGTTTAAGTGTGAGCTCCTTCTACACCTGCACATCAAAATTAACTCAACTTGGGTTAAATCACCAAGTATTGTGTTTCTTTAATGCTGTGCAAAAACTAAGGGAACTCGCTTCCCATCATGATGCTGTACACCTCTTGCACTAAGATATTTTTCTCAGGAAAAGTGCAGAGGTGACAAGCTTAAAAGCAAACAAAACCAACTTTTGCTCTGTCCCTTCAGTTGAGGGTATCTTGACACATGTCCCTTCTCTTAATCCCCTGACAGCTTCCAAGAGACTGATGCAAAGAGCTGTGCCAAGCTTTGATTATGAGATATTGCACTGCCACTTATTCTCTTTGTCTCCTGCAGTTTACAGAGGCAGCTTCAGTGCATAATTTAATCCCTGTACTGGGGACTGCAGCAAATCCATGGAGATTTCTACCAACCGTCCTCTCTGGCATCAGAACAACATGTGCACATCGTCTTTGATGTGAATTCCCCAACCAGAGCCTTAGAGGGACCTATAGCTTTGAAGCTGGCCTATAAATTGTGCTTTCAGGAATCAAGTTGTCAGCCTCCTCTTCAGGAAGAAAGGGAGAGTAAACTGCAAAGCAGTTGCAAGAAACTACAGGGCAACTTACAGATCTTGTTTCCTTGGCCTCGGAGAATTCCTGTAGGATGTTGAGAATCCCTTTTTACCTGGCTTAGAAGCACCCTCTGTAGTGACTGCCAGACCTGTGGGCACTGGGGCTGTGATGGAGCTCACCTGGAGGGTTTCCTAGTTCCAGGGCAAAACGGAAGGGGAACAAGCACACCAGTGCATTTGACCTTGTTTTGGGTAATTTCAGTCTTCCAGAGCCAAGTGCTGAGAATGCACCTGTATTGCTCTTTGTGCAAGTGAATTTTCAGAGTGGTTTAGAAACACATGAAAACTTACCAGATGTGATGGTTGTTCTGTGATGACCCCCTGTGGCCTAACTTCAGTCCTTCCCTACGGTGTAGGAGAACAGGCAGACTTCTGCCTTTCTATTGAGATTGAAATTAACTGGTCTTTGAGTTGAGGAATTTCAGTGGATAAGTCTTGTTTTAATAAACAAATGCAGTTGCCCTTCTTATTAATCAGTGTCTGCTTATGTGTTCAGCTGTCATCTCTGGGAGCTCCTTCCATACCAATCTGAAAAAGCAAAGGGCTGGCTGGAGTCAACCAAGACACGGACTTTGGTTTTTCCTGTGTTGCCCATCTCCAATGAGCTGAAACCATCCTGCTCTATCCATGCCGCTACTGCTGATACTGTTGTAGCAAATGTTGCTACGACTCCTGAATTGAAACATTCACTGCACAAACAGCTAAATCAGTCTTTCATGGTACATAGGGAGAAGCTTATGCTGCTTCACAGATCAGTATCAGTATCAGATCTTAGTATGTTTATAAATGTTAGGCAAAAACAGACAAGACTGTGTAGAATAACTCTTCCTATTTTGAGTAGGTGAATCTTAGGTAAGCATCAAAGATGTTACCCCAAATCTCAACAGGTGTTCATATTTGGTTTTCTGCTTTTGGGGGATGGAAGTTCTGCTGATTTTTTTTCTTTTTTTTCCCAGTCAGAGCTGTATCTAGAAT